CCCCCGGGTTCTGGGACTTAGAGCGGGCCCGTGCCATGGGCTGGCGTTTCAGGCTCAGCCCGACACTCAGGACTGGCCACCAAGTCTCGGGTAAAGCTGTTAGTTGCGTGCTTTGAGGCCACAAAAACAGTAAGAAAGACTTGTCGATCCAGAAACGCACGGCAGAGGTGTCGATCTCCATGGGGCTCAGGAGAAAGGGGGAAGGGAGGGGGGACAGGCCCCTGGAGGTTTTGCTCCCAATCTCTCTAGCCTCGAGCCCGGCGGCCTTCGCCGCCGGTGTGTGCCGTACTTGTCGTCACGCCTAACGCGGGCTGGTCCCTTTGAGGAGACGGGCGGTTTGTTCGCTTGGGGGGTGGCGGTTGTGTGCTTGGGTCGCGCGGGGCTCTGTGTGTCGTTGCTTTTTCCTGGTGGCCCAGGTCCCCAGCCACCGCCCAGAGGACAGGAGGAGACCGGGGCCGCCAGCCAGGCTGCGTGCGCTTCTTGGCGGCGCTTCTGCCGCTCAGCGACAAAGGGGGAGCGGACGGGGGAGGCCCCGTGTGGCGTCGCTCCGTGACTCGGGGACGGCTCGGGGGCACCCTCACTTCCAGAGCGACCGACACGCCTGACCCGCCCCTGTGGCAGCTCCCGAGCTCGAGCTGGAGCCGCGGAAAGCGAAAGCAAGCAGGGCCTGGAGAGCGTGTCGCCCCCAGCTACCCTGGAGGCTGAAGGGGGCGGGCCGGCCCCAGCCTGTCCCCTGAGGAAACCCAGCCAGGCACCCCAGCGGACCCACTCACTTCAGCGCGTAGAGAAGTCCGGAGGCCCGGAGGGCGACAGATAGGTAGGCGAAGAGAGCAGGGGTGAGGCCGCAGCTGGGGCGGGGAGCGCGCGAGAGAGGATCTAGGTGACGGCCTGCGGGGAGCCGCGCCCGGCTCCCGAGACCCACTGCGCGACTGGGACACAGGGCCCCCCGCAGGGCCGTCCGAGACCGGGCAGTGCCTGCGGAGGGGCCTCCGTGCGCCCAGCAGGGGATCGCTACTGACAGATGCCACCGTTACCAGAGATGCGCCCCGCTTACCTGTGGTCCAGCCAGCGACCACAGGCGCCCTTACCTGTGAGAGCTGACACAGCGGGGCGTAGAGCGGCGGGGGCGGCGGCGGGGCGACGGGGAGCTGCTTAGAGCGCAAGCCCTGGCCCCAGCGTGCCTCTGAGCCGGTGGTCGGCCAGGGCCCGGGGCTCTGCCTCCTGGCAGGCTCCCTGCGGCCCCGGCGCCAGACTCCGACACTGGCGTGGGCTTGCCCGGAACAGCCGTGGAGGACCGGGAGAGGAGTGGCAGATGCGATCTCGAGACAGACGCGCAGCCTGTTCAAACGTGGGGCGTGCTCAGGCAAAGTAGGGGGGGGCCCGATGAGGAATTCTGTGTTCCCCGGGGTTGCTGCCCAGCACCCAGCCTCGAGAACAAATCCGGGACTGGGCACAGGCGGGAGGCTCTCGCCTCTATCTCCCCCCACCCCAGCAGGGATCGGCGAGAGAGAAATGCTAGGGGAAGGCAGGTGGGGGGAGCCTGAGGTCCCCGGAGCCCAGCAGTGAGGGTGGAGGCACAGGAGAGGGCCCAGCAGGAGCCAGGGCGGCGGCAGGGCAGAAAGATCCCAGGCTGGACCTCGTTTGCTTCAGCTTTTTGTCCTCCGCGGAGGTGGCCGACTGCCACATGACCCTCCCTTCTGCCTCCCTTGTCTTCTCGGCCAGCACGAGCACGGTGGCAGACGCCTACCGCTGGCTCAATCACACCGTGGGCAACAGGACCGTCGTGGAGGAAGGCTACTACTATCTGAATAATTTCGACAACATCCTAAACAGCTTTGGTGAGTGGAGCAAGCACAGGGGGACGCTCCCTGGGCATGCTGCCTTTGTCGCCGCAGGTCCCAGAGGGGGTGTAGCAAACCGTCTGCGCCTGTCCCTCCCAGCTGCCGGCCTCCCTTTCTGCAGTCCCGTCCGGCCCAGGTGGAGGCTGTGGGTCCCGTCTGCCCAGCGTGGGGTAGAGTCCAGGCCAGGTTCCCAGGGCTTCCGCAGCCACCGGAGTTTGCTCTCTTTGTCCTGATACTTTTTCGGTATCAGGAAGGAGAAGACCTTCGTGCCTTAGCGGGAAGGGGTACGGTCCAGTGCAAGGCCACCACCCTCCTCGCGGTGCCATTCGCAGGGTGGGACCCGGCCATGCCAGGGCTGCCACAGCGCCCTGCACAGCCCCTGCGGGTTCAGGGAGAGGCCTGGGTGCGGGGCGTGGAGGGCAGGGGCCCGGCCAGTCACGGCCTCTGCAGGGCAAGGGGGAGCCCCAGTGAGACCCACCACCCCCCGCCCGGCCCTGGCCAAGCACAGGCTGTGAGGCTGAGCGCACGCCCTCTTGGGGACAGGCCGCGGCGGCAGAACTCCCTGTGGAGCAGGCGCTCGGGCAGGGCCTTGGCTGTCCTCCCTGGGGCTCGAGGCCCCAGCCGGCCTGCGGTCCCGCCACGGTTTCGCGCGTGATACCTAGGGACAGGCTGCCCAGGATGGGTGGACACGGGCTGCCTGGAATTGACCTTGAAGAGGCGGGTCTGATCCAGGCACTTCTCTTTCTTCCTTCCCTTTGGCAGTGACCTTGTTCGAGCTCACAGTTGTCAACAACTGGTACATCATCATGGTAAGATCCCAGCCAGCCCCGGGGGTGTTTTCCCGCCACCCTCGGAGGCCACGCCGGGTCTCCCATCACCCAGCGTGGGGTGCGTGGCCCTTCCCGTGGCCTGAGAGTTTGGGGTCTCGGGTCACGTGGGTTGGTGTCCTGGGGGGAGGCCGTAGTATGGGCTGGACCCCAGAAGCCACCTCCCAGCGTTTGCAGGAACTGGCTTTCCCCGCCGTCCCCCTTCCCGTCCCCTGGCAGCCAGGACACGCCACAGCCTCTGGGGCTCTGTTCTGTCTCCCGCCGCTGCGGAGATGGTTTTTCGATTAAGAAATAACGTGGCGAGCGGTGTTGGGGTCTTTTTGTTGTTTGTTTTATTTTGAGATAGGGTCTCGTTCTGTCCCCTAGGCTGGAGTGCAGTGGTGCGATCATAGCTCGCTGCAGCCTGGGCTCAAGCCATCCTCCCCCCTCAGCCTCCCGGGTGGCTGGGGCTACAGGCACCACCGCACCTGGCTACTTTTTAAATTTTTTGTAGAGACGGGATCTGGCTAGATGGCCCAGGCTGGTCTCAAACTCCTGGCCTCAAGCCATCCTCCCACCTCAGCCTCCCAAAGTGCTGGGATCACAGGCGTGAGCCACTGTGCCCACGCAGGCATTGTAGATTTCCCCCCGCTATTCCTTGAACTCTCCCGAGTCCTGTCACCAGCGGGGACAAAGGCCGCCTGTGCTGGGCCCGTACCTGCTGCCAGGATTGCTTCCCAGGCACACGCAGCAGAGAGGAGCTGTCAGGCCCGGGGCGGGGCTCCCTCCCTCCGCCTGTCACAGCCAGGCACGACCCAGGGGATCTGTAGAGAGCCTGACGCCTGGCTCTGGGCCAGCGCCCTGGAGCGGCCAGGTGGACGGTGCCGGCCCGGCCCAGGCGCTGCTCACTGGCTGCTCCCCTCGGTCTCCAGGAAGGTGTCACCTCGCAGACCTCCCACTGGAGCCGCCTCTACTTCATGACCTTCTACATCGTGACCATGGTAGGTCGCCGCGGCTGAGGGACACTCCCGCCCCGTCTTCCCAGGCGTCGGCTGCGCCTGCTCCCTGGGCTCGGCCTTGGGGCGGGGGCCGGTCCCGTCCAGTGGGCTCTGTTGGTGTGGGCCCCCGCCCCCCGCAGGAAGGGGACACCCACACACCCCTCCCCCGTCCCGGCCAGGTGGTGATGACCATCATCGTCGCCTTCATCCTCGAGGCCTTCGTCTTCCGCATGAACTACAGCCGCAAGAACCAGGACTCGGAAGGTCGGTGCGGGGAGCGGTGGTGCTGTGGCGTTTGCTGCCTGCCGCCCGTCCCTCTCTAGCTGTCTGGCTGTCTGTCTGGCTGGCTGTCTGGCTGTCTGGCTGTCTGTCTGGCTGTCTGTCTGGCTGGCTGGCTGGCTGTCTGGCTGTCTGTGTCTGGCTGGCTGTCTGTCTGTCTGTCTGTCTGGCTGGCTGGCTGGCTGTCTGTCTGGTGGGCTGTCTGTCTGGCGGGCTGTCTGGCTGTCTGTCTGGCGGGCTGTGTGGCTGGCTGTCTGGCTGTCTGTCTGTCTGTCTGTCTGGCTGGCTGGCTGTCTGTCTGGCTGGCTGGCTGGCTGGCTGTCTGGCTGTCTGTGTCTGGCTGTCTGGCTGGCTGTCTGTCTGTCTGGCTGGCTGGCTGGCTGTCTGTCTGGTGGGCTGTCTGGCTGGCTGGCTGTCTGGCTGTCTGTCTGGCGGGCTGTGTGGCTGGCTGTCTGGCTGTCTGTCTGGCGGGCTGTGTGGCTGTCTGGCTGGCTGGCTGTCTGGCGGGCTGTCTGGCTGGCTGGCTGGCTGGCTGTCTGGCTGGCTGGCTGGCTATCTGTCTGGCTGGCTGTCTGGCTGTCTGTCTGGCTGGCTGTCTGTCTGTCTGTCTGGCTGGCTGGCTGGCTGGCTATCTGTCTGGCTGGCTGTCTGGCTGTCTGGCTGGCTGGCTGTCTGTCTGGCGGGCTGTGTGGCTGGCTGTCTGGCTGGCTGTCTGGCGGGCTGTCTGGCTGTCTGGCTGGCTGGCTGTCTGGCTGGCTGGCTGGCTGGCTGGCTGGCTGGCTGGCTGGCTGTCTGTCTGGCGGGCTGTCTGGCTGTCTGGCTGGCTGGCTGGCTGTCAGCTCATTGGCTGGCCTGGGGTCTGGCAGTCCTGCCGTCTGGCTGTCCAGCTCATCTGTCTGGCTCGTCTTTCTTAGATCTCTTATTTGCATTGACTTTCAGATACTTAATGTCAAAAAAATGCTCATGATCTAATTTTAAAACAAAAACAATGCATCTCCTAGTTGAAGAAAAAACAAATAGTAGAGAAAGGCTCATTGTAGAAACAGCAGCCCTGCGTCCTACCTGTTCCCACCTCTCCTCCAGGGACTTGCACCGTTAGCTGTTTCTTCTTTTAGTTCTCTCCGCATTTCCCAGTCATGGGTTCACACCGTGGTTCTTGACTTTTTTATGTTTTTTGAGTCGGGGTCTCACTCTGTCGCTCAGGCTGGAGTACAGTGGCACAATTTTAGCTCACTGCAACCTCACACTCCTGGGCTCAACAGACCCTCCTGCCTCAGCCTCCCAAGTAGCTGGGACTACAGGCATGTGCCACCACACCTGGCTAATTTTATTTTTTGTAGAGATGGGGTCCTGCTATGTTGCCCAGGCTGGTCTTGAACTCCTGGCTTCAAGCGATCCTCCTGCCTCAGCCTCCCAAAGTGCTGGACGACAGGCTTGAGCCACAGCGCCCAGCCTGATTGTAATTTCAATGGCATACATATCGTTTGCTGCAGAGGCAAATAGTGTTCCGTCTGCCCCTCAGCCGTGCTGGCTCTAATAATTGCCTCGCTCTTCCCAGCTCACACGGCTTTCTGCACCTTGATCCTGCTTTCCAAATTCTCCATCCTATTAATACTTCTTCCCAAACCTCTGTCGTATCAGCCTATACATCGGTTTTCTTTGTGCTTGGAGATTCCCTCCTGCACCCCTGTGTCTGTCCCCTGCCTAGACCACCCACAGACGCTCCTGACACCACAGCGGAGCAGGGCCCGGGGGAGGGCAGGGCCTGCAGACAGGGGTGGGCTAGAGAGGGAACCTCAGGACCCCTGCAGAGGGGCAGCAGGGAGGGTGGTGAGCCAAGACCAGGCCGGGTTGGAGGCTCCAAGCCCCAGGCTCCTCCCCACCCCCACCCTCTCTCCCCGCAGTTGACGGTGGCATCACCCTCGAGAAGGAAATCTCCAAAGAAGAGCTGGTGGCTGTCCTGGAGCTCTACCGCGAGGCGCGGGGGGCCGCCTCTGACGTCACCCGGCTGCTCGAGACCCTCTCCCAGATGGAGAAACACCAGGTGAGCAGCCACGGGCTTCGGCGGGTGGAGGGGGTGGGGTGAGCACGGCGTGATCCCTCCCTTCAAATGCTGGTGACACCCCTGGGTGACACTGTTGCAAAAGTCGGAGGAGGAGTGGGCCGGGCCAGGCTGGCTGTGGCGCCAGGGCTGAGGTGCAGTGGCGCCATCGCTCAGTGCAGCCTCAGACCCCCGGGCCCTGCGCCTCCGCTCCTCTTAGCAAAGCTCCATGGTGTTCCTGGGACGGCGATCGAGGACCAAAAGCGACCTGAGCCTGAAGATGTACCAGGAGGAGATACAGGTAGGCGCCGCGGACCTGGCGGCTGCATCCTCGGCCCAGCGCCGGCCCAGGTGGCGTCTCTCCCCGCCCAGCAGGGCTGCCCTCCAGGTCCCTGAGTGGAGGTAGAAGGCTCGGCGGGGACACGTGGAGCCACCTGTGGGGACCAGTGGCGTCTGGGGCCTGGGCGGGGCCGGCCTTAACTCATTGCCTGGCGCAGGCGGCTCTCCTGTCTGGCCGCCGTTACAGGGCACCGCCCCTGTGAACTCTCCGAAACCCCCTTCCCATCTCGTACCCCGAGCTCCTGCTGCCTGGGCCTGGGAGCTGGTGTGCGCCAAGCACGCCTCTAAACGGCAGGGGGGACGCCATTGTGATTTCTGCTGACGGGGCCATATTGGGACTCCTGGCGTGTCCAGGCGGGGGTCCCAGTCCCAGTTGGGTGGGGCCGGCAGCGGGGTGACCTGTGCGGCTGGGGGGCGCGAGTTGGCCGGGAAGGGTGCAGCCCTCAGCCCCGTCTGCTCTGCGCCAGGAGTGGTACGAGGAGCACGCCAGGGAGCAGGAGGAGCAGCGGCTCGGCGGCAGCGGCGACGTCCCCTCCGCCCAGCAGCCCCCCGGCAGCCGCCCGCGCTCCCAGACCGTCACCTAGCCCAGCGCCCGGAAGCCGTCTCGTCTATGCAATAACACAATAGTATTATTTTACTACGACATATCGAACTAACGTGTGTGTGCACACACTCATATATATGCACATACTCATATAGAGGAAGAAAGAAGACAGGATGGGGCTTGGTTGGCGACCACCTTGCCCTGTTTTCCTTAACTCAGAAGCCAGCTGGGTGTGAGGGGTCAGGCCGCTAGGTCTGAGCTCTTCCTAACGTGGAAAGCTCTAGAAGCCCCCTTCACAAGAAGACCACATGAATGGATTCTGCCGAGTTCTGCAGGGCTTGCCCTGAGCCCCGGCCCCGCTATGTCCAAAGCCGCCCCTGCTGCTGCTCTCAGGCTCCGTCCCGCCGACAGCTTCCCCGCCACGGCCCGGGTTTCTGAGTCTTGCTTCAGGGACAAAACCACTTAGGAAGGAAAGAGCCCCGATACCCCAGGGTGGTGTTTCTGTATGTATGACAGTGTCCCAGAACGTTCCTTTGGGGGCAAGTGCTCAGGACCTGACGGAGAGCGGAATCAAGGGTGTGCTCAGAGCTCAGATAGCCGGCGGCCGGCCACGCGAGATCGCGCCGACCTGACCCGCTTCCTTCCCTGGCTCTGTAAGCTTCCCTCTGTCCTTTGGTTTGACCCTCCCGTGGGAACCAGGCGTCGCGGGTCAGGCGGCGGCTGCCACCCAGACCGATTCCTGGAACGCGCTTTCTTGACTAAATCCCTTTCCTTTGGTTTACCTATTCGAGAACCTGCTAACGTTTTGGTTCATTAAGGGTCACGCTAAAGGCAGCGGCAGGCCCTCGCACTCGTGTGCTAGCTGTCGCTGTTGGGCAGGAGTGCACGGCACAGAGGGCTGCAGGACGTCGCTGCCACCCCCTGGCGGAGCCTGGCCCGGTCCCACCTCCCCCGGGCGGTCACCTCCCGGGACGCGGCTCGCCCAGGGCTTTCAGTGGCAGGACTGGTGGCTGCAGAAGGAGGCTCAGATGCACGCCCAGCTAACCAAATTCCCGGCACCCCGTGGAGTCTTAGATGCGTTCCGAGCGTGGTCAAGGAAGGATGGCGCTCAAGCTGGAGCAGGCCGCCGGGTTGCCAGCCGTGGCGAGGGGGCGGCAGTGGCTGCAGAGGCAGGGTCAGCGCAGAGGTAGCCGTCGCCCGGCCCTCCTGAGCCGCAGGAGCAACAGGACACGGGGTCCGCAGGGGCAGCTCAGGCAGCGGAAGGAGGGTGCGGCGTGGGCGGGGGAAGCTGTCACTGGGACGTCCTGCGGCCGCGTCTCGTGACTTCAGAAGGTGGCGGACAGAGGCTCCCTTGGCCGCATCCTTCTGGCCACAGAGTGGGCAGGGCAGAGCCTGACCCCAGGGGAGCAGCACCCAGTCCCCTCCCCACCCCGGCCACTGCCTGGGCCACGCCGGACCCACGGCCAGCACCGCCCAGCTCCCCCTCGCCGGGCGATAAGTGGTGGGTGTTTCGGTTTTTAAAGCACAGCCCTTTGGGAAAACGACAAATCATGGAGAACCACTGTGAGTCCCACGTGGGGTCAGGAGACTGACGTTGTCCCCTTCCTCTCTGGAGGGCCAGCGGCCATCGCGGGAGCTCGCCCTGAGCCCCAGGCCAGAACCCTTCCCCTCCACGGAGAAGGGCTTTATTTGCACAACCGGGTGCCTTTTAGCTTTTGTGTATTGAAACGGGCACGGCGGCAGCAAGGGTCAGGGTACAGCTCCCAAAGGCGGCCGCCTAGTCCCTGACCCAAGCAGCTGCCCCGTGCCAGTCCCTTCCCCCGCTGGGCTGCAAGCCAGGAAGGGCCAGCAGCCCGGGGAGTTGACGCCCCCACACCCCTCAGAGAGAGCCGCTTCCAGGCCGGGGGCGGGGTCGCAGCCCCTCCAGAGTGAGTGTCGCCCGTGCGCCCAACCCTGCCCTGGGAGAGGGCCTGGTTCAGGTCCAGACAGGACAGATGCAAGTGGCAACAGTGCTGACGGGCCAGGCTCCAGCCAGTGGGAGGCACCCTTGTCACGGAGGCTACGGACAGCCATCCCCGAGGAGGTCCCCTGGGGCCCCACCAAGTTGACACTCGGATTTGCCCACCGAGCAGGGAACAGGGGTCACCCAGGCTGAGAGCTCCGAGGGCACCGGATGTGATCAAGCACAGATGCCCTCTCACCCTCCCCGTCACAGCACAGTGCACCCGAGTGGCACTCGCCGATGGCCAGGGTCATAGCTCGGCAGCCGTGGCAACCGCACCGTGACCCTGCCCGACACAAAGGCGGTGTGGGGGGACGCTGCCTGGTGCCACCTCCCCCTCCCCTCCCCTCCCCTCCCCCAGCTTCACCCCACACCTCGAGGACAATCATTTTGTACGGATCACGGGAGCTACGCTGTAAGGTTTTGTACATTGGTGATTTGCTACCTAGAAAACCCACTGTGTCTCCGGATTTCTGGCATATTAATAAAAGAGCCTCTGCTTTGTAAATGTGGCTGCTGCCTCTTGACTTGCGTGGCTTCAGGTATTGTGGGGACAGGGGCGGTGCCATCCACGGCCCCACCCACCGCAGCCCGGCCGCCCTAGCCCCGGGGTCAGAACTGAAAAGAGTGGGGCGTGCGCTATTCACTATATGCATGAAACATTTCATCATTTTTTATTTGGAAAAAAGACAGTTGAATCTCTTTTCTTTACCTGTGTAAGGCACCTGGGCAGACTGAAGGGTCGCTCATTTCAAAGGCAGGGCCACTGCGTGACAGCAGGAAGGCACCAGGGAGCCCCGAGGTAGGCACAGGGCACAAACTGGCCCCCGTTTGCAGCTGGGGACTCCCAAGGTTCCGGGCACAGGGGCGTCTGGACAGTCAGGATTGTCTAGGGCCGGCCGGCATGGCGCGGGCGGGCGGGGGTGGGGACAGTGGGCTCCGGAAACGTATTGCTGTTACTCGCACCCTCTTTCAGCTCTGTTAACACCACAACTTGCAAGAAGTTGAAAAATCAGGTTATCTGAAATTCTGTGTCAGTTGGTGCAGCCCTGGAGCGCAGCCCTGGAGCTCAGCCTCGGTGGCCTGAGGCCTGGGGGTCCTGTCACCCGGTTGGTTCCCTGAGTCAGGGTTGGGCGGCCACTTGCGCCCTGAGGAGGTGGCACCACAGGCCCAGTGAGGGGTCGGGCAGAGCCTGCGTCTGCGCAGGTGTTGCGACCCTGACACGCCAGGGGGCTCCAGCACGAGGCTGCCCGCCATGCCGCCCCTTCCCCATACCCCGCCGTCCCCAGAGAGCTCTGGCGGTGACTGAAGGCGGCCTCGGAGAGCTTCCGTCCGGACCCGCGGCCGGGGCAAAGCCATCTCCGAAGTCCAGCAATGAGCCGGTGGGGTGCTGGCAGCTCAAGGGACGCAGCGGTCCTCCCGCGCACAGCAGCGACATCAGGCTGGCAGCGAGAGCCCCAGAGCCACCACAGGAGCCCGCGCCCACTCACGGGCGGGCTGGTCCCCTGTCCTCCCCTGGCGGGGGGCCGAGGGTCCCCTGCGGCGAGGCCACCCCACCAGGCGGCTTCGGTCATGCGCCTCTCAGGTGAATCACTCCGAACTCGGTGAGCAGGGCCACGAGGAGGAAGCTCAGGTAGAACAGGAGCAGGCAGAAGCCGTAGCCTTTGCTGAGCTGGAAGCACTGCAGCGGGACGGCCACCAGGGAGAAGACCAGGCTGAGCCCCAGCGCGCCCGCCAGGACCCAGGCCAGCAGCCCGTCCGGCTCCAGCTGCGGGGGACAAGGGGAGAGCTGGGGCACTGCCTACCACCGCCCGCCACCGCCCACCACTGTCCATCACCGCCCGCCACCGCCCACCACTGTCCATCACCGCCCGCCACCGCCCCGCCAGCCGCCGACAGGTGCGTGTGTGAGGGCACCCTGCGTGTGGCAGGTGACCCAGGCGTGGCCCCAGAAGTTTCCGGGCTCTGAAGCAGCAGGGAAAGGGAACCTGCTCTTCCACCTGTTTGGGGGGCTGCCACCCTGTGGCCGGGGCCCCCACCCTGCCTTGTTTGTTCGTGCAATATTTTTATTTTTTATCCCACAGGTTGTAGTTCATGTAGTTGGAACAATATTTTTAAATAGGAAAATTTCACCTAGGATTTCTTCTCTAGAAAAACTGGACTGTCTGGCCATACGAGGCCCACCTGGGTCACCCACACGTTTCTGTTACCTGCCCGGCCCTAGGTGCCTGAGTTTTCGACCCTCTGTTAAGAATAGTTCCTCAAATACAGCCCTTGTGTTACCTGCCTGGGCCCCGGGGAGCGTGTTAAAAATGCAGATTCCCAGACCCCAGCGCCCTGGAACTCGGGGGCAGGAGGGCTCTCGTGCCCCCAGGAAATTCACAAGCATGTTTGAGAAGCTCTGCCAGCCCAAGGGTGTTGCAGAACCAAATCTGCTGGGCGCCCAGGCTGGGGTGTCTCCAGTGGACAGCACCTCTAATCTCTTCCGTCCCGGCCCTCCCCGTGGGCAGCCTTAGGATACGGGATTCAGCCTGGCCCTGCGGGCCTGTCCTGGAAGCTTGGGAGGTGCCATCAGCCCCAGTTCACAGGGGAGGAAACTGAGGCCCAGAGATGTCCTAACTCACTCGAAGTCACACAGTAAGAGACTTAAGCACCCAAACCCAGGGTCTTCCTCCCAAGTTACATTTTTTTTTTTTCAATCCAATATGCAGACTATTTTCAAATAGTCTACAAATCAGACTTGTCCCCAGGAAGTGTAATCTGCTGGGATGGGGACGGGGACGCTCTCCGGGGCCAGAGGGCTGGAGGGCGGGGGGTGGCGCTACGCTGCGGTGCCCTGCAGAACTGTCCGGCCACTCACCTTCACCTCCGCGTGGCTCCGGGAGATCTGGAGCAGGCAGCCCAGCCCCACGCCCACGAGGATGTCTGCAGCCAGCTCAGGAAGCTCTGTGAACGGTCTGCCCTCAAGCCAACCGCGAGGCCCGTCCCTCCTACTGGCTGCAACCCGGGGGTTGGGACGCCACAGCAAGAAGAAACTCGGCTTTCTTTACGATCTATGCCCGGCCCCCCCTGCTGCTGCTATCTGAGACCCCATCGGTTTGCGTGCCTCTAAGAAGGTGGGTGTTGAGTGTACATCCTACCTACACTCAGTCTGCAAGGACTGGAGAAGGTGCCAGAAATGCTCAGCGCCTGTAAGCACTCGGTAGACAGGGAAACTGAGGCCAGGTGAAGGGAGGCGACTGCCATAGTCCTGTGAGTTAACAGGTGATGGAGCTTGAGCAAGGCCATCTCGAGGGGTCGTTCAGGGCTCCCTCCTCCCCACCCAACCTGAGAGGCCAGGAGCGGGTCTCGGTGGGCACGAAAGGGCCCCAAGGGACCTGCTAAGCCTGGGACCAGCTCACCCTAAGGCCCTGTCATTGTGGGCACTCTCCGCAGACGTCAGGTGCTTTGTGACGATGTGACTTCATTTAGCAACCAGCAAGATCCACTGCTTGTTGGATGTCTGCCGAGTGCCGGACACCGTCTGGTACTTTCCCTCACCTTCCATCTTACCCTTCCCATGTGTAATTTACAAGGGAGGTGGCTGAGGTTTGGAGAGTGTGGCATGTGGCAGGGGCGCCAGAGCTGGCACCCACGCCCATCTGGTTTCAAATCCCTTTTTTCTCTGCGGCCCAAGCTGGCTATACCTGTCCTTCCTACTATATAGGCCAGGGGTTGGCAAACAACAGCCCTCTGGCCAAATCTGGCTCACTACCTGCTTTTATAAATAAAGTTTTATTGGAACAGAGCCGCGCCCATTTGTTTATGAATTGTCTATGCCTGTGTTCGCACTACAACAGCAGAGTTTTGAGTAGTTGCGAAAGAGCCTCTGTGACTCACAGAGTCTAAAATATTCACTTTCTGGCCTTTTAAAAAAAAAGTTTGCCAGCCCCTGACGTAGAGCATGACATGTCCTCATAGGCGAGAGAAAGAGGGTCTCCCATAGGGCGCCTAAGCTCGCCGCATGGGCATCTGCTGGTGCCACCCCCGCCCCCGCAGTGATAACACCTGCATCCCCTGGGCGCTCGCCAGGTGCCAGGATTTCCGTCCAGCTCACTGCATCCTCGCAACAACCCTGTGCGGTCAGTGCTCCCAATATCCCCATTTTACAGATGAGGAGCCTGAGGCTCTGGCAGCCACGACACCTGCCCAAGGTGTCACACCGAGAGCCGATCCCAGAGGGTGGGGACCAGCGCCGGCGCTGGGGCTGTGGTCGGCCCCGCAAAGGATACTGAAGATGATGCCACCGAAGCAGGCCGAGAAAGCCATCCTTGGGTAGCCCTGGCGCGCCAGTGTGAAATCCGAGAAGACGTCTGCATGGAAACGAGAGGGCCCGAGTGGTCAGCGGCTCCCCCAGGCCTTCCTTGGCCATTCGCGCCTGGTTCTCACCCACGGGGATCCAGGCGACAAACACTGAGGTGCTGTGTGCGAGGCCACGACCCTGTAAGATATGGTTCCCTCCCCGTTCCTTTTACACCGCTGTTTCCCGCCAGGAGCGACTCTGTGGGCACAGTATGACATGCTGCTACCAATCTTTCACCCAAGTCCCATCTGCTGCTAGCGCGCACAGCACCTCCGTGTGCATTAGAAAAAGCTACCCAAAGGTCAGTAGAGAGAGGGCTAGATTTTAGCTCCCCTCTCCCCTTGCCTGGATGCTCTTGTGCAGTGCACAGCCCGGCCAACCTTACCTGGCTGCCGCAGCTGGAGAAGGGTGTACATGTATGTATATGTGTGTGTATGAATGTCTGCACACGTCACATGCCCATGTATATATATATATACATCAAGCATGGTTGGCTGCAATGGACTCCATGCCCTGCCTGAACTCTGGGCAGCCACCGAGCCTCCCACATCAGAGAGTGGGGAAGAGGCAGGGGCCTCTGTAGAGTCTCCTGGCCCAGCTGCAGTGTGGGCCACCTCACCCCGAAGCCCAGTGACGGTCACTCCAGGACGACAGTGGGCACCAAGCATATGCTAAGGGCAGACACCCTGCACACCCCGGCTCAGACGAGACTCTGGCTGGGGGAGCAAAGGACTCCTATATGGCTGTGCTCACCCCAGAACCCCACCCAGCCCTGAGTCACCTCCGATGCTGTTCCCCCAGGCCAGCAGTGTGAGCCCCAGCACGGTGTTGCTCAGCCGGAAGACCACGCCCAGGGACCGCAAGATGTTCACGACCTCCGTGGCGGCCGCGTTGATCCACAGAGCGCTGGTCAGGAAGCCCAGGAAAGCAAAGAGCTGCGGAGGGAATGGCGTGTGGCGGGACCAAGGCCAGCCCCAGCAGGGACACGGCCCGGCCCCTGCCCCGTAAAACAGGATCATGGCAGTAGCCACTCATGAGCATAACACAAGCTTTTATAGTCTATGCAGCTAGAGCCTGCATGTAGTAACTACTCGGTAAAACCTTAGTTCAATGTGATCACTTTGTTGGGAAAGGAAGGGTCCATCATAGCTTGTATCAGATTTCCAGTCTATGAGCCGAATACTGCCCATCACCCCGAAAAGTAACCCTGTACCCATCAGAAATTGCTCCCCATTTCCCCCTCCTCAGCTCTAGCAACTTCTACTCGCTGTGTCCATGGATTTGCTCATTATGGGCATTTGATATAAGTGGAATTATACAACACGGGCTCTTTCTCTGCTGTCTTCTTTTCAGTGTAACGTTTTCAAGGTTCATCCATGTTGTAGCGTATATTGGTGCTTCAAAAAATAAGAAAGTTGGCCGGGCACAGTGGCTCACGCCTGTAATCTTAGCAGTCTGGGAGGTTGAGGCTGGAGAACTGCTTGAGGCCAGGAGTTGGAGACCAGCCTGAGCAAGAGCATGTACAGGCAGTCCCAGCTACTCGGGAGGCTGAGCCGAGGAGTCTAAAGTTGCTGTGAGCTATGATGACGCCACTGCACTCTAGCCCAGGCAACAGAGTGAGACTGTGTCAATCAATCAATCAATAATAAAAGGCAGTTTTCCCTAAATAAGAAAAGACCACTTCCCTAAATGATCAATTTGCTGAAGATTCAACCCCCTGTGGGTTGGTAAATGCATTCAGAGTTTCTAAAAAAAAAAAAAAATTATCAATAAGTATTAAGAAATGAAAAATTGGCCAGGCATGGTGGCTCACGCCTGTAATCCTAGCACTCTGGGAGGCCCAGGCAGGAGGATTGCTCAAGGTCAGGAATCCGAAATCAGCCTGAGCAAGAGCAAGACCCCGTCTCTACTAAAAAAATAGAAATAAATTAATTGGCAAACTAAAAACATATAGAAAAAATTAGCTGGTCATGGTGGCGCATGCCTGTAGTCCCAGCTACTCGGGAGGCTGAGGCAGGAGGATCGCTTGAGCCCAGGAGTTGGAGGTTGCTGTGAGCTAGGCTGACGCCACGGCACTCCTGCCTGGGCAACAGAGTGAGACTCAGTCTCAAACGAAAAAAAAAAAAAAGAACACGGCACTCCTGCCTGGGCAACAGAGTGAGACTCAGTCTCAAACGAAAAAAAAAAAAAAGAAGAAATGAAAAATTTAAGTAAACTTTTGAAGGAAAAGTCTCTGGACAAGCTGCCTAAGAATTCCTGAGAGTGTGCAGACTAGAGAGAACACAAAAAGACACCAAGATTGTCATCATTAAAAACCTGGTGCTTCCTCATCAGTGTGACGGAAAACAGGCTGTCAGTTCCTCAAAAAGTTCAACACACAGCTACTATCTGTCTGAGCGATTCTACTTCTAGTAAAATGCCCAAGAGAAATGAAAGCATAGCTCCACGCAGGAATGTTCACGCAAATGTTCACAGCAGCATTATTCAGAATAGCCAAAGAACAGAAACAAACCCACGTCCATCCACAGAAGAATGGCTGAACACAACGTGTCCGGGCCACACGTGGAACATTATTCAGCCACAGAAAGGAATGCAGCCCTGACACATGCTCCGACATGGATGAGCCTTGAAAACATCATGCTAAGTGAAAGAAACCAGTCACAGAAGCCATGTGTCGCGCGGTTTCTATTTACATGAAATGTCCGTGATGGGCCAACGAGCAGAGACAGACGGGAGAGTGGAGGCTGCCAGGGCCGGGGTGGGGGAAGGAGGAAACGGAAGTGACACTAATGGCTGTGAGGTTTCTCTTTGGGATGTGAAATGCTCTGTAATTGATTGTAGTGAGGGTGGCGTGACTCTGTTAACTGTAATAAAAAGCACTGAATGGAACACTTCAAATGGGTGGACTGTTTGCTCTGTGAATTACCCATAAAGTCCACAAAGTCAAGCTTTAGGGTTTCAGGTAACCTGTCACCGTGGGAAGCAACTGCTGGCCAATCTGCCCCAGAGGCGGGGCGGGACGCCGCCTGGGAGAGCTCACCCAGTGCAGCCTGGGGGGCTTGCGGTTGGACGTGGCAAAGAAGGTCACGGAAGCCAGGGCTGTGCCTGCGATCACCACCACGGCCCAGACGGGCAGGAGGCCGCCGATCTCGTAGACGCCATCTGAGCGGGACAGGAGAGGGGCCGGGACTGTCACAGCTTCCACTCGCACCTCCTCCCGGACACCCCCCCCAGAATGACCGAGGGGGCTGGGACCTGCACACAAACCGCCCCCAACCCACTGCTGGGGTGTAAGGCAAACTCCGCCTGCGTGCCCAGCCCTGCCTAGGGTGCTTCCAGAGGAGGAAAAAGTCAAAAGCACAGGCCCTGCCCTCTAGCTTGTCACATGTGGAAGGAAAGACGGACACACAAAAAACCCTCAACATGGAACTGGAGTGGGAACGGCTAAGACCCACTTAGCCGCGGCCATTCTCCTGTCCCTCCTCCACGGCAGACATCACTAATCAACCACGCGCTCGGGCCAGCTGAGCCTCCGGCCAGGCACTACCAATGGATGGACGCGCATGGCTCCCTGAGATGAACTGTCAGCGACGGTGAAACCCAACCGTACCTGCCGACGGGTGCCCAACTCCTGCTCTCGGTAAGTCCACGCCTCCACCCAATCCATTAACAGGCTGTGAAGGTTCCAGAGCCTTCTTACTAGACCACTAACGGGAGGAACCCTACAGGCAGGAAGAATGCTCTAGAATTCCCTGCACACCGCGCTTTTCACTAGAGAGTGGACACTGGTCTTCAAGTGATGAATGTTCGAGTGCCCAGACAGGGCCCTCAAGGCCGTCCTTTTGTTCTTCTCGGGGCAATTTTGACAGAACACAGTTTTTTTTTAAATAATGTGATTTTTACCCACAGCGCTGGCTTTGGGACCGGGTCCCTGGGCAAGCAGCCCTTTCTCTGCGTTAGCCGAGCCTGCGCTGGAGGAGTTTCAGGAGGTGGCTGGGGCGCGGGGGGCACTGAGGATGTGAGCTGAGTGGTTTGCTTTTTGTTAAGATGGGGTCTCACTCTGTCCCCAGGCTGGAGTGACACCTATTAAGCACCTGCTGTATGCCCAGGAATCTGCCGCCAGACGCCCTGGTGTGGTTGGGAAGAAAACCCCAGAACGTGGGGAGGGCGAGGGGGGCCGGCCCGGGGGAGGGGGCACTCACAGACGCCCGACTGCAGGGTCAGGACGAGGACCAGGGGGCTGATGACCAGGTGCAGACAGTTGAGGGGCCGTTTCCAGTTCCGGTCGTCCCTGTCCGGGTCCACGACGGGGACCGTGAGCAGCATCAGGAACTCCACGGGCAACTGTCGGGCGGGCACGGGAGGGAGGGCGTGGGCGGGGAGGCCCGAGTCCCGGCCGGCCACACACCGGTGACCTCAGTGACTCAGGACCAAGGCTAGGGCGCCCAAGCGGGACCGCGTGAAGCGCCGGAGTGAGTCTCCCACGCTCGGCTGCTGGAACGCACGAGCACACGCTAGCCACGCGTGCTCCCAGCCCGGAGGACAGATGTCCCCTAGGTGAGGCCATCAGCCGAGCTCCACGGCCCGCTGTCCCCACCAGGTCCCCAGCCACCTATTCTGAGCGGGTCCCAGCAGTCGCCGGGCCCTGCCTGCCATCGAGCTGCAGAAGGTGGCGCAGCCGCTGTGTGGTCATTGCCATGAAGCCGCCAGCCTGTGTCCGCCCCTCCTACCTTGAACACCTTGAGGGCCCTCCAGTAGGTGGACTTGCTCCTCCACTTCCTGAGGTCCAGGGGGTTGAGGGCGTGGGCCAGGATCTCGGCCGTGGTCTCCTGGTGCAGCAGCGGCCGGTATTCATCCCCTGTGTGCGGGGCAGGGGGTGGGGGGCGTCCGTGGCTGCCTCGGTCTCCAGGAATCCCCTCCCCGGCCCCCCTCCAGGCTGGGCCCGGGGCACGGCACTCACCGTAGTCATAGCTGTTGGTGTTGGAAGACGCCCGGTCCTCCTCGGCGTCCGAGGGGACTTCTGCAGGAGAGAGGCCACTAGGGGGTCCAGCCCTCCCAGAGCTGTTCTGGGGGAGGGCACCCCGGGACAGGCCGGTGTTAAGGGTGCCGGCGTCCACACCCCCACGCGGGCTCGGGAACCCTTACGCAGTGGGAAAGTCCGGCCCAACTAACGTTTTCAACGTGAGGACGCAGCTAAAATGCTCCATTTAATGAGGGCGTTTGAAGACATAATTCAAACATGGGACTTCGGTGTACTTTTCGGAATCTGAAGCCCATACTACAGTTCTCTTGCAGTTGGAAACTCTTCGCAGGGGTCCTCTGGAATGCTTATAGGCCTTGGGGCCCAGGAGGTGGCGCACGCCTGTGATCCTAGCACCCGGGGAGGCTGCGATGGGAGGATCGCTTGAGCACAGGAGTTTGAGACCAGCCTGAGCGAGAGCGAAGCCCTGTCTCTATGAAAAATAGAAAAACTAGCCATGCCTGTAGTCCCAGCTACTTGGGAGGCTGAGGCAGTGAGCTATGACACCATTGCTCTCTACCCAGGGCGACAGAGTAAGACTCTGTCTCTAAAATAAAAACAAAAAGAGTGGCCCTAAAAGTAAAATCTCTTCCTTGAGTGAGGTGAGGGAGGAGTCAGTTCTAGCCCTAGTTCTGTCTCTGTGATCTTGGGCCCCTCTCCAGGCCTCACTTTTCCTCTTTCATTTCAGCCTAATGAGCTATGACGGGTCTAGAAGACAGCACAGGAGTGATGTGTGCTGAACCCTGAAAGCTTGGTGGCCAAAGAAGAGAGAGAGAAAAAAAATCATGGCAGACTTCCTGGAGGAGGAGTCACCAGCACCTGCCAAGGCCTGGGGACATGCTAGGAAACTCTCAGGCTAACAGATAGACTTAGAAACAAAATAATGACAGAAGGGTTTGTCGCAATTGTGACTTCTGGCACTGCAGGTAGAGGAGTGGCCTGGGGTCTAGGTTTGGGACCCAGAGTCAGAGTCCTAGCTCTGCCCCTCCCCCGGCTCTCCGGCCTCGATCTCCCTGAGCCTGTGTCCTCATCCCTAAAACGGGGACAGTAACAGCCCCTCCCTCAAGGGCGTGGTACTGAGAGGAAGGAGTAACGTGATACGTGCGCCCAGCAGGGAGTAAGCACACACGAATACATCTATGTGTGCACGCGTGTGGTGCTTGTGCGTGCAGGTATTCATGCGTATATGTGTGTCTTTGCTTATGTATGTTGTGTATGTGTATGTTGTGTATGTATTTGTATACGTGCGTGTTGCATGTATCTGTATACGTGTGCATGCTGTGCATCTGTGCGTGTGTTGTATATGTATTTGCACATGTGTGTGCATGTACTTGTGTACATGAACGAGTCTGGATTTCACCCCAAGGGCGGTGGGAAACATGAAAGCATGTGACAATCCCCAGGCACGCGGCCCTGGCAACAGCACGGGGAAGACAGCGGACTTGGACACGCAGGTACGAGAAGCGCCAAGGCTCGGCGTGGAGGGAGGCAGGCCTTGGAGGAGCGAGTGGAGGGGCAGGGTGAGGAGATGGGCTTGGTGGGGACAGTGGCAACGGCCTCAGGAGGCACAAGGGAGCGCGAAGAGCACAGAGGCGCTCGGTCCCCACGGGTCCTGTCTTGGGGGCTTCCTGCAGACCCTTACCCGGGGTCCCCGGCACCGAGGAGGCCAGGGATCTTCTCCGTTGCCACCGGTAGATCCAGGTGCAGAGGATCACAGTGACCACGTAGAACACATACAAGCCCAGGTAACCTGCAGACCGGGCGCAGGCCGTCACCAAGTGGCGTCCTGGCTGCAGGCCCAGAGACCGAGGGCAGGCGGTTCTGTCGCTGGTTGTGCTGGCCCGGCCTGGGACCAGCAGGTCAACGCCACCCCCTTGAGCCCCCACAGCCCTGCTCCTGCTCCCCCCCAGGGCCACCCTCCTGCCGCCTCCCTGGAGATCAGGGACGTGAAGGCGGGCGCACAAAGCGATCTCTGGCCCTTATTCAAGAGCTGCGGGTCCGCGTCTCTGTGACGCCCCAGGACCGTAGCTCACGCTGGGCACTGGCTCCAGGCCTCCTGCCCGCACTGGGCTCTGGCACCCGCCCCTGCCCCTCCCGCCATGGGGTTCGGGGTGCTGACAGCTCCCACTGCTATGGGTTCCTGGGCATCTCAGTGTCCCTCACTGGTTTCCTCGTTCCTCCGTGCAACTGTCCCTCCATCTGTGCCCCTTGAGCCACCTGAATGGACCGTGTTTGCTGCCAGAACCCTGGTGGCCGGGTCAGCAGCCCAGCTGCACTGCTTGTTAAAACTGGAAACCGTGACACTGTTGACCACCACCTGCCCCCGTGCCCGGCCCTGCCCCGAACCCCGGTCCCTTTTCTGCTCATGCCGTTTGAGTCGGGTTTCTGCCATGTAGAATCAAATCAGCCCCCCACTGCGGCCACTGCTCCTGTCTCTCCCACCGGCCAGCCCTGGCGCCCCAGCCCCGCAGCCGCTCACCCAGGGCCCACGCCAGCGTGACCCTGCCGCGGAAGAGCACGGTGAAGGTCAGGAACACGGCCACCATGTAGAAAACGATGTCCCTGAGGAAGGGCCTGGAGGCGGCCGTGAAGGGGTGCAGGATGGCGATGCCCCCGGCCACCACCGTGGTCACCAGCACGCCCGCGCCTGGGGAGAGGGGCCTGAGCTCAGCGCCCCTGCGCCCCTCTGCCGCCCGCCCCACCCCAGCCGGGCTGCTCTCACCAAACAGCGCCCCAAGGGCCAGGCCCGCTGTGCGTGGGTCGGAGAACGCCACCAGGGCACTGAAGATATCAGGTGCGCCGTTCCCAAAGGCCAGGAAGGTGACACCATGGGGACAGCGTGTCAAGGAGGGGTCGGTGCAGCGGCCACAGCCCTCCCGGCCTTTCCTGGGCCAGGAGCCGCCCCCACCCAGCCTCCCCCACGGTCCCCTGCCAGGCCTGGACGGAAGGATACTGCCACGTTGTGGGACAGCTTGAGGGTGGTGGAGATGGCCGACAGGTTGGGGCAGAAACTAGGGAGAAGAGCAGACGGTAAGCGCCCCACCGGGACCGGCCCCAGGCCCAGGCTCACGGTGTCGGCCTCCTGGGCCCCGTGTCCCCGTCTACAAGCTGGACCGAGCCCCAGGCCAGACTCACAACTTTGCCGCGGTGACGCCCAGAATCAGAAACAGGTAAAACAGCCAGAAAACCTGGGGGGGGGGCAGGGGGAGAGGGTGGATTAAACCCAGCCGGGCCCACGGCCCCTGCCACCACCTGCCCTGGGCAGGGCCTCACATAGAGGGTGACGGCCAGAGGGAGGAGGGCAGGAGGGAAGTGGCAGAAGACGCCTTCCAGGTAGTCCAAGTAGCCCCCTCCGCTGCGGCAGTCGGGGTTGGTCCGGATGAAGTCACAGCGGTCAGAGGCGTTCAGGCCACACACGGCGCGACACTGCGGGAGGGGAGGGGGACACATCAGGGGCAGGGCCCCCCCCCCACCAGGGCCACTGGACCAGGCCCAGCTAAGCAGCTAAACGTCGCCTCCCTTCAGCCTGGTCTCCAAGCCCCCCGTGCCCCTCTGGTGCCAACTGTGCACTTTTACTTTTAAATATAAACTTGTATTTGAACTTAACACAAGTAACTCATGAGCACATGTTTGTTTGTTTGTTTTTTAAGTATATATAAAGATTTCTAAATTCCCCCCTTCTCATCCCTGCCCTCCCTCATCCCACCTCTCCCCAGCGGTCCCACCATAATCAGCTTGAAGCACATCCTTACAGACATTTCTCAGTTCAGTTACATTTGTACACATACCCTATTATACAGCTTGTTTTGTTTTACAGAAATGGGTCCATCCTAAATCTCTCGTTTTTGCAATTTGCTTTTACCGCTTAACATATATATTAATAATATACATTAATACATATAATATAAATCAAAACATACTGACTTTTATATGCCAGGCACAGTGCTAGGAGCTGAAACCCTGTATCAATTAATCTGCACATCAATCCTGCGAGGGAGGTACTATTACTGTGCTCGTTATACAGATGGGAAAGTGAAGGATGGAACCCAGGCAGTTCAGGCCCTAGAGCCCCACCACACTCCCAGCCTCACTGCAGGTCTTTAACAGTAGCAGAATATTTCATTTCCTGGGAGATATATAACTGAGGCAACCATCTCTCTACTGGTAGGTGTTTGGGTGTGTCTAATTTTTCAGTATAACCAACAACAAACTTCCTTACACATGACTCTCTGAAAACACGTGAGAATATTTTGCCAGAGAGAATTCTAGAAGTGAAAAATGCTGAGTCAGAAGGTATCCTAGTCTGAATTTTTTGTTTTATGCTGTCATTTACTTTTGATTGTAGCTGTCCTAAAGGGTGTGAGATAGTATTGACAAAGATTTTTGAACAAAAAGTTGGAGAAGGCCAGCTTCATACTTCATGCCTGTAATCCCAGCTCTTTGGGAGGGCAAGGTGGGAGGCCAGGAGTTCAAGACGAGCATGGGCGATATAGTAAGACCCCTGTCTCTACAAAAAATTTAAAAATTAGCCAGGTGGAGTGGCATGCAGCTGTAGTCCCAGCCACTTAGGAGGCTGAGGCAGGAGGATACAGCTATAGCTCCATCTATAGCAATTCACTTCCCCTCTTTGGGCCTCAGTCTCCCCATCTGTAAAATGGGAGTAATTATACCAACCCCATTGATGAAGGAAACAAACGAGATTTTTTTTTTTTTTTTGGTCTGCATTTCTTTGCATTTGCCCTGAGCCCGGCCCCCAGTAGGGGCTTAATACATGTGTGTTCACGACTACCTGGATGACAAAATGCTTTTGTGCAGCCTTTACCATACTCTTGCAAGGTAAAGGAAATGATTCCCATTTAACAGATAGGTAAGCTTTGGCCTCAGGGCCAAATCCAGCCCACCACCTGGTTTGGCACAGCCTGCAAGCTAAGGATAATTGTTACAGTTTTACATGGCTGGGAAACATACATCAAAGGAAGACTATTTCATGAGACATAAAATCGGATACAATTCAAATAGCCATAATTATTGACTGGGGCCCAGCCACGCCCGGGCATTTACATACTGTCTGCGGAGTGATCAGCTGCAGAGACCGTGTGGCCTACGGGAGCCACAGATGTTCACTATCCGGCCTTTTACAGAAAAAGTCTGCATCGGAGGTTGCAGCGTTTGCTGCGTGCATCCCAATTCAGGCCCGGGAAATCTCCAGCAACTATTCCCACCGAGAAATCCAGATTTCTGCTCTGAGACCCCAGCCCCAGCTCCCACCCAAAACCCTAGGTCAGGCTGGGCTCCCTCCAAACTGGGAAGGGGGGTGGTGTAGCCTGGCCCCAAGCCCAGGCCTGCGGCTCTGCTGGGGCTCAGGAATTTCCCAGGGAGGAAAGGTCACCCCGGGGCCTTCTGACAGAGACAGGGGGCCCAGCCAAGACGGGAGGACGCTGGAGGGGGACCCAGGGAACCAGGCCGGCTGCCTACAACCACTTCCTCTTCTGCAGAGAACAGCAGCAACAGCAATAGCACCGGGGGGCGGAACAGTCCCCGCACTGAGCTCTCGATAATGAAACTGCCTAAAATTAGGTTGGCACCTAATTTTAGTCCTTCTAGGCAGGTGACCTTGGGCAAGTAAATTAACCTCAGTTTTCTCCTCTGAACAACGGGGACAATGTCACCCACGTGCCCGGATAAGGACGGGATGAGCAAGATAGAGCTGACGTAGCAGAATCAGCACCTAGTAGGTGCTCAGCAAATCTCAGTGGCAATACGATCACCTAAGTTTCCATCTCTTAAATACTTGCATGCATCCCTTCCTTCCATCTGTGCCAGCAGACAGAACAACTGCAGAGGTTCCCCTCTGGCCTCCCCAGCTCTAATTTACCAGAAGGTTCTTTCAAAAATGTCCCTCCTCCAGCTGCTGAAGAGCCCTCCTTTGCCACCTTTTGTCCCTGCTGTCCTCTGCCCTTGTCAGTCTCCAGGCAAGCTGGTCTGGTTGGCTCTTGGGTCCGGCATTGCCCAGACCCTCCTGGCCTTGGTCCACCTTCTGCATGTGCTGTTCTTGCTGGTTCACCACTCCTTCCCCCCGGCTAATCCACATTCATCTGCTAAATCTTAGTTCCCAAGATGCCTCCTCCAGGCAGCCCTCCCTGACTACTCCCAGCCTAGGCTGCACCTCCCCCCCCCAGTTGTCATAAGCTCTCATCACCCCAAGTCTTCTCCTTCTAAGCACCGACCACGGTTTGAAGTCACCTGGTTGTCTGCAGGGTCATAGGATTGTTTAACATCTGCCCCTCGCCCCCACTGAAAGTCTGGCACGGTGCCCGGCACATAGTAGGTCTTCGTCTGTTTTGCCACACACTGTACTGGGCATCATCTCATTCACTTGTCTTCATAAGAGAACTAGGGGGTTGGCGCAATTGTTTCCACTTCGCAGATGAGAAAAGGGAGGCACAGAGAGGCAAAGTGACAGAGCCAGCGCTGCCTGAGAGTCACTAGCTGGAGCTCCTGGGGGAACTGCCCCTTCCTGTCCCCTTGCCCCGTGACAGCAGAGTGACTCAGCAGGGCGGCTCCCCACACCTGGCCTCGGAACCTCTTCCAGCGCCGCCTGCCCCGCCCCCGCCCCGCCAGACATCCCCGTCCCCGGGTCCCCCAGGAGCCGTCCTCAGCTCTCAGCGTTAAGGTGGTGTCTCGCTGAGTCTGGGGTGGGTGACTTCTCGCCCCTCCCAGTCCCTTCCCAGCCTCCTTCCCGAGTCACCAACTCCGTCCCAGGGAAGCTGGAGAGGCTTGAGCTCAGGCGACAGGAGAGGGCTGCAGACTCAGCCTCGGGCCGCTGAGGACCGGGAGGACTGGCAGGTGCCGGCCCTGCCGAAGGCCCTCGAGTCACAGAGCGGAAAGCAGCCCCTCCACCCTGCAGAAAAAGGAAAGAAACCGCAGCAGCCTGGCAAGTCCGTGCACCTGATTAGGCCCCTGGGCCGCCAGCTTTCAACCCCGCGCCCGTGCCCGTAGGACCAATGCGGAGGACAGGGACAGCTAAGCGGATTGCGGTGTGACCTTCAGCAAGCTGCCTGAGGTCTCCGGGCCTTGATTTCCCCATCGTTAGCCCACGGTCTTTATCAAACCTGTCTGGCCACCGTCACCTTGGGGCCACCTATGTTTGGTCACCTCTTGCGTGCCCTAATACAGGAACACGGACTATCGACGTCCACACTGACTCTAGGAAGAAGCCACACAATGACACGACTAGGACATCAACGGAACACGCTCAAAACTTTTCCGTTTTGTTAGCGCCCATCAAGAAAGGCTTGGGCTTTTCATAATCTAGAGGCCCCTCCCCAGACGTTGCCACCTGCAGGGTCTGGGGGCGCATTTGGCGAGTTCGGCACAGAGATTATCTGGCAGAAGCCACAGACCACCCAGTTTTCCCGTCCCCAAGAGGCAGCACGCGACTGTATGTATAATTGCTCAAACTACAAACCACTTTCCCATCTGTAAAATGGGCTTAATTGCCTGCTCGCCTGCCTTAGGGAGTGCACGTGTAGGCGCTACGCAGCCTCATAAAGTGGGTACACGCTCGCAGCCCCCAGTCTGAGTTGGGGATCCCCGCCAAAGAACTCACGTGGGAGAACCCCGGCCCCCTGCAGCTGCAGGGGCCTCTGCGGGTCATCCTGGGCAGTCCTCTGCCTTCATTCTTTCACTCTGGATCCGCTGTGACCTCTCCTCCCCTTACAGACACCCACGTGGAGTGACACAGGCTCCCTGTCGCCCGTCTGCGGGGCCCACAGCCTCCCTGGCCTGGGAGGGGCCTCGGTGACCCCGAGCCCACTGTGCCCGACGCCCCGCCCTCTGCCAGCCCCCCCCCCCCCCGCCCCCCGGCCGGTCAGCCCAAAAAGCCGGCGCCATCTGTGACTCCTCTCCTTGCCCCACCACCCCGCCCCTCCATCAGGACGTCCTGCTCACTGTGTCCCCAACCACCAACGTTTATGCCAAACCCCACCGCTTTTTCCCGTCCCCACCGTCCCCACCGCCACCACCCTCTCCCCTCTCCCTCCATTCTCCCCAGAGCAGCCAGAGAGATCAGATTTTGACATTCCTCTGCTTCAAAACCTCCCCTGGCTTCCCGCTGTCATAAAACAATTCTCACCTCCTAGCCTCATCCTATCAAGCCTTTGGTAACCTGGCCATCTTCCTCTCTCAATGTTCTTCCCCTCACTTGCCCTGTTCCAGCCACGCTGTTCCAGGAACGCACTAAGCTTGCCCCTGCCTCAGGGCCTTTGCACTTGTTGCTCCCTTTGCCCGGAATGTGCATCCCCCAGATGGCTACGTAGGTGGCTTCCTCTCTCCATTCAGGGCCTTGGCTCAAAGATCACTTCCTCACAGAAGCCACCTGTGACCACCCAATCTGAAACAGCTGGCAGTGCTCACACCCTCCCCACCCATATCATTTTATCTATTGTTTTCGGTGCACTGAGCGCACCACCACCTGAAACTCCTGTTTACCTCTTTACGCGTCTGCCCAGGAGACAAGGAGCTCCCTGGAAGCAGTGATTTTTGTCTGTACTGTCCCCTGGTTGATCCCAGGGTTCGGCCAGTGCCTGGCACATACTAGATGCTCAATAAACGGTTGTCATGGGGAGGCATGCACCCGCACCCAACCTGGCTTCCTGCCTGGATACTCACGTCTTCTATGGGGGTCTGGTTCAAACTTAAGGCTGGGAACGGCGGGCTCCCGTGGGCCCCTGTAGACAGGCCCCCGGCCCCAGACACCACCTCCACCACCAGCAGCGCACCGAGCAAAGCCCGCATGCCGCACGGGTGCAGCCGTCTGCCGGCCATCGGCCCCGCGGGGCCTGGGCCTCACTGTCCACTTCCCCTTCTGCAGTCGGTCAGCTCCAAACGGCTGGTGGCTCCAGTGACCTGCAGGGTAGAGCTGAGAAGGGGGGACAGTGTCACCGAAGTCCCCCAGACCCAGCAAGAGGGCCCTGAAAAACTGTCCAGCTAAGGAACGGCCCTCCCTCCTCCCCCAGCAGAAACGCACAAACACAGTCTGCGTGGAGTCACATGGGGGGCGGGGCTCTGCTCACTGAGCACGCACGGGACAGGTGCCCCAGCCCGAGACCTGGAAGGGACTGGGGACTTGAGATGGCATTCGGAGACTCCTGCCTCTGGGGCCAGATGGGTGAGATCAATCCGGAAGGGAGCGGTGGTGAGGACTGGGCAAGGGCTCTCAAAACCAAGAAAACGTCCCTCTAGGGGTGAGCCTGGCCTCTGGGCCACCAGCCTGAGACCTAGAGAGCCCAGCCTGGGACATTGTAAAGAGCCTACTAAGCAATGCTGCTGTTCTGTGTGTCATAAGCAACCAAGCGCTTTACGCAGTTGACCTCATTTAACTCCCACAACATGCTGAGAGGGGGAAGCTACTATTATTATTCCCATTTTACAGATGAGCAAACTGAGGCACAGTGAGCTGAACCCAGGCCTGTTTCCACACTCTCAGCCATGGCACCACGCCTCCCTAATCCAATCCTCGGAACAATTCTGCAGATTTTCTTGTCCCCGCCCTACAGAGGAGACAGTGGGGCTCAGAGGAGTGATGTAACCTGCCCAAGGCTCACAGCAAAGAGGCCAACGGCTCTTCCGACGGGGAAATTGAGGCCCAGGGGGAAGTGAATTGCTCCAAGTCACACGGCCCCTTAGCAGAGGAGCTGGGCTGGTCTCTAGCAACTGCCTCTTCCCTCAACACCAGGGCAAAAATGGCTTCGATTTCTTCCAAAGAAATTAAACTGACGGGAAAATAAAAGTCCTGGGCAAACCGAACTTCTTCTTTTGGCTTTTTTACATGTTCTATGATGAGTGTGATTTTTTTTTTTTTTTTTTTTGCAACCAGGAAAACTAAAGCCAATAAAACAACGTTGTTTTTCTGTAGGTCTTTGCACAGCTATTTCTCAACGTCCTGGCAGCCCGAGGGAAAGGGAGGAGCAGGACGGGAGCACGGTCAGCAGGTGAGAACCGCAGCTGGGACCAGGAGCAGCTCCTCGCTGCTGACACAGAGTCAGGCCCTTCTCTTTTCCGTGGTTCTGGACGACTCAGGTGCAGTGGGTGCTACTCTGCCCGGCACCCACTTGAAACCTGACACTCCTAGTTTCCTATTCGCCTCAGTCACTCACTATCTGTGCGGCCTTGGGGCGGTCACTTCACCTCTTTGAGCCTCTGATTGCTCATCTGTAAAATGGACACAAATGCGGCCGAGGGGGCATACAGTGAGCGCTCAATAAATGCTCGTGCCCCTAGTGTCCCCAACACATGAGGACAAGCATGTGTCTCCTCTCTACCGTCCGTCAAATTCTTCCACTTATTCACCAGTGGGCATTTATGGGACGCCTCCTGTACGCCTGCACCTGTGCCAAGGCTGGAGGGTCTGCAGACCGGCAGCGGGGACCTGGGACCCGGGACCCGGGACCGGGCGGGGACCCGGCTGCGCTTTCCAGGGACGAGCCCGGGGCCATCGCCGCGCCGGTTCCCAGCGGACGGGTGTCGAGGGGCTGAAGTCGGGGTGCCCGGGTCCTCCGGCGGCGCCCTCTTACCTCGGGCCGGGCCTGGGACCCGCAAACTCGGAACCTCGACTCAGCCGGGCCTCGCGGCCTTCGCGATCCCCGCCCGCCCGGCGCCCCGCCCGCCCGGCGCCCCGCTCGTCCCCAGCTCGGCCTGCGCTCGCCCGGCTCGGCCCGCCTCGCTAGGCCACGCCCCTGACCACGCCCTGACCACACCTCCTGACACGCCTCCGGACACGCCCCCGAGGTTCGGCACGCCCCTTCCCTTAAAGGCACAGGCTCCCGGGGCAGGACCCGAGGTTCTTCCAGGCACTCCATCTGTGTTTCCGCCCCCCTGTCTTGAGTAGACCCATAGCTACAGGGCGAAACCCGGAGATTCAGTTCCCGAGGGTGGGGAGGGCACGAGCCTGTCGAACTGCTTCTGGTAATGAATGGTGAGGAGCAGCCGAGAAGCCCCCCAGGTGGAGGAAGCCCCGCACTATCCACGAATATTCTCTGTCCTGCCTGAAATGTCACCCCCATATCTATAAAAGATTAGCCGGGCATGGTGGCGGGCGCCTGTAGTCCTAGCTACTGAGGAGGCTGAGGCAGGAGGATCCCTTGAGCCCAGGAGTTCCAGCCCGGGTGACAGAGTGAGACCCTGTCTCAAAAACATAAAAGAAGAAAATGGCAAAACAAGGCAGGACTGGGGAGTTGGTGACGGGGTAAACTCCCTCTCCCCAGCTGCCCAGCCCAGCCTTCTGGGCAAGCTCTGGTCATCCCGCCTTGCCTTCTGCTGGGGTGAGGGTGCGGGGAGGCAGGCAGACACTGGACCTGGGGGCTAGGGACCTGGGGGTAAGTGTCCCCTCCCAGGCCACGCGTCTGTCATTAGCACGCATGGGATCCCACTGTCCCTCTGTCTCTAAGTCGGGCCTGCAATCTCCTCACCTGCGGGGCCGTCCACACAGCCACGGGCCTTGCCCCTCTGAGCCCCTGCCCCCGCCGCCCTCCCTTTCCACCTGACAAACTCCCACTCACGGTGTCAGGCCTCCGCGTGGTCTCGCACCCTCCCCCTGTCCCTCCCAGAGCCGGGGCTCCTCACCTTCCCAGCAGGCCTCGAGTCCCCACCTCTGGGCCGGGAGACCTGGTGATCAGGAGCATGATCCGTTTGGGGTCTCAAAACATCAGGTTTCTGTGGGACCTTCTGTAAACAGACTCTGGGCCTCAGTTTCCTTTCCTGTAAAATGGGGACGACAGTAGTACCTACCTCATGGGGCCCTTTGTGAGATGAAGCAGACACTGTGAAAAGTCCTAGACCCTGTGCCTGGCGCTGAGTAAACACCCTGTCAGCGGAGGCCACGGTTGTCCCTGCTATTCCATTATCACTGCAGCATGGGCGCTCGAGTGCCTGCCTGTGTCCCCCACGGGCGGGAGCACCTCCCAGCACGCCCAGGCCCAGCTGGTCCCCACGTCCAGCGCCGGGGCGCCCCCGGCTAGTGTCTGCGCGCCTGCTCGGGTCAGCTGCTGCCTGGGGAAGCAGCTCCAGACCTCTGAGTCTGAAGCCAAGTTCTCCTTGCCTAAGGGGCCGACCCTGGCAGCCAGCGTGACACCTAGATGTCACCAGCCTAGATGTCACCACAGGGACAGGCAGGTCCCTGTGTCCCGGGACCAGGGTGGAGCAGGAGATGGGGGAGAGAGGGTCTGGGGGAGAGAGGGTCTGCGTGTCTGTTGAGAGACTCCTGGAGAGATCCGGGGTGAGGGGGAGCCCCAGGCGACAGAGAAAAGGGACAGATGGGGCCTGGGACAGCCCTGGGTCACCGTTGCTCTGGGGGGTGGAAGGGCTGGTTGGGGTTAAGGCCTATTTCCCAGGCTGGGAAAGGCCATTTTGACATCCGTAGGGGCAGCCTCAGAAGACATCCAGATCCAGGTTCAAATCCCAGCTCTGCCACTAATTGGCTATTTGACCTTGGATGAAGTCATTTCACCTTTTTGAGTCTCTGTTTCCTCACCTGAAAAGTGGAGACAAAAACAGCACCTATAGGGCACTCACCGGGCTGTGGTGAGGATTCACTGGATTCCATCTGTAAAGAACCCGTAGCGCAGTGCCTGGTATTTGTATTAATAAAAGTTGAATAAATGGGCTGGGTGCGGTGGCTCAGACCAGTAATCCCAGCACTGTGGGAGGCTGAGGTGGGAGGATCGCTTGAGGCCAGGAGCTCAAGGTTACTAGGAGCTATGATTGCACCACTGCACTCCAGCCTGGGGTCAATGCGGTCCCAGCAGTGGGAGCCGACCTCTCACTGAGCAGGGTCTGGGTGCTTCTTTTCAGCCTGGCTGGTGGCCTTGTAGGGCTGGGGACCTCAAAAACTGGCTAGAACAGGGTGGGGGAAGCCTTGGACGGGGGCCAGGGGCAGGTGGCCAGGCCGAGACCCCTAGGCATGAATCCACACTTTGTCTGCAGCCGTGGGCAAGAGAAGCTTCCATTTCTTCCAGGCTCAGAGAGGTGAGGTCACTTTCCTAAGGTCACACAGCCAGCAAATGATGGAGCTGGGATTTGAACCCGAGCCTGTCTGAATCTCCAGCTCCATGCTCCTGTCAAAGGCGAAATAAAGATGTGGAGAGGAAGCTCTAAAGGAAACGTTTTGCGTGGGAGGCAAGAAGGGCCATGCCGGCATGCAGGCAGACTGCTGTCCTGGCCTGCCCGGAGAACAAAGACAAAGAAAGCTGGAGGCTTTATAAAAAGACAAAATGTTACGTTTTGGTTTTCCAGAAAACACAGCGGAGCTAGTAAAGGTTTGGGGAGCTGGTGGCCCTTCTGGGTGAGTGACAGCCGAGGTAAGACTGCTCGCAGGGTGTTTCAGGAGCTGCAGACACAACCGGGTTCAGGTTACAACAGGCGCTTTCCCCAGCTGGGCTTGTGGAAAGCGGTAATTCCTGGAGCAGGTGCTCTGTGTCCCCAAGTGCTTCCCAGCCCCCTGCCGGGCCCCTGGACTGCGATGCCCAGTTGGGCGTGACAACAATGATCCAATCTGTACATCCAACTTTCACGCCGCTAACCACTGCCCTGCCCTGTCTGGCTGAGGATGCCGATTGCCCTTGCTCCCGCTTGGCGGTTTGTTAGTCCGCAGTGGGCACGTGAGCCGAATGCCAAGGAGAGGTGTCACCCAGAATTCTTGTCACCCAGAATCCTCCGTCAGCAGCCTTGGCCAGATGCAGGATGCCTAGAAGGCACCATCAACGCCGATGAACAACACTGACTGAGTGCCGCTGAGTTTCAGGGGCCGTGCGAGGGTCTTTTGATGACGGGTAAGCTGAGGCACAGAATGATGACATCCCTTTGGCCAGGGACCCTGAGGGTAGGAGGGTTGGAGTGGGGACATGGTTAGGAATTCGTGGGACGCGCGCCCCCTGGTGGCCACAATGGGCGGCGCCCGTAGTGCTGGGGAACTGAGTTCAAATCCTTGTTCTGACCCTTCCTAGTTGTGTGAACTAGACAAGTCGCTTTGACTGTTCGAGCCTCAGTTTTCCCATCTGTAAAACGGGGATAGCAGTAGTGGGAACTTTTTGGGTGGCTATTGGGGACCTGTGATAGAAAGCATTCACAGTAAGTGATTAACAAATGGTAGCAATGACTGGTATTAATACTGATGAATAAAAGTTATAGGAGTCTATTGTTTTGGATCAAGCTCCTGCACTAGGCTCCGACAGACCAGACTAAAAATCACAATGGAGAGTTACCCACACTGAGGTTTTCCACGTCACCAAACTGTCACTGAGTTGTCATCTGGCATTCAGGGAAATTAGGGGAGAAAGATAACTGGCCCAATTTCCCAAACAGGCCAGCTTCAATCTTCAGTGGACGTGATAATGCAGCCCCTCTGTTTTAATCCTTACCTCAAAGAGTAACCTGATGTTAACAAGTCAGTTAGCTTTCTATATTTCTGTCCCCCGCCTTACAAGGAAAGTCACCTTGAAATGACCAATCAGCTTTTCATTCTGTTTCTGCCTTCTTTAGCCCCTTTTCTGTGTATAAAGCCCATCTCTGCTCAGCTCATTGGAATACTTACTGTATTTTATGGAATGAAGTGTTGCAGGATTCTAGAATCACAATAATGCCAATTGGGATCTTTAAACTATATTTGTTGCAATTTTGTCTTTTAACAATACCAGGGGAGTAATTCTTTTCCAATGGATGGGGAGGGCTGCAACGCCCCTCGGGCCCAGCTCACCCAGGGTCTGGGGAGCGGGGGTGGGTGGTGGGGGTGGGGGGGATGGGGACGGCACCTTCAAAGTGTTGGACAGCTACTTTGTGGGCCGGGCATGGTGGCTCATGCCTGTAATCCCAGCACTTTGGGAGGCCAAGGCAGGAGGATCAATTGAGCCCAGGAGTTGGAGGCCAGCCTGTGCCATGAATTGTCTGTTCTTGTTTTGGGCCCATTTTTTTCTATCTGGTTTTCAGATTTTCCCCTTCACATTTTAAGAATTCTTTAAGTATTCTTCATTTACTAGGGGTTTTAGCCCTTTTTCTATGATATATGTTATAATTTTTTATCCTAGTTCATCGTCTTATAATTTTGCTTATGGAGTGTTTTGACATTCACAAGTTTAAAAAATTATTTGATCAAATGCATTAATCTTTTATTGCATCTGGGTTTTAGTCATGTCCCACACACAAGTTACAAAGGAATTCACTCATGTTTTCCTTTAGTACTGCACAGTTTCACGTTCTACGCTGAGATTCTGATCAATTAAGAGTTTATTCTGGTACTTGGTGTGAGGTATGGATCTTGGATTAAAAAAGAATAAAAGTGCACTTGGGGATAATCGGAAAAACTGTAATAAAAACCCTGCATTAGGTAATCCCATTAAATAAATGGTAAAGAATCCTGTGGAATCCGTATCATGGTGTTGTCATTATGCAGGACAATGTCTTTGCTGTTAGGAAACACAAGCTGCAGTATTTAGGCTTGACATGTTACAATGTCTTCAATAAACTCAAATAGTTCAGCAAAATTATATATAGGGAGAGATTAAGTCAATATGACAAAATATTAGCAACTGATGGCGGGGTGTGTGAGTATCTACTCTACCATTCTTGCAGCCTTTCTCGAGGTTTTGAAAATTTGCAAAGCGAAAAGTGTGCGTAGCTGGGGGGAAGTGCGTTAAACTGGGTTTGCGTAGCCGGAAGGGGGCGCCGGGGCCCTTTAAGGTGGGCCCCGCCTCTCCTGTGTCACGTCTGGCCCCGCCCACCCCGGAAGGGCCGGCCCGGCCCCGCCCACCCCAGGCCCCGCCCCGCGGCGGCGCAGTCACGTGAGCCGGCTGCTGCGCGGCGCTCCGCGCGGTCATGGTGGCCCCGGTGTGCGGCAGCCCGGGCGGCCGCCTGGCCCGGGCGCTGACGCGGGCGCTGGCGCTGGCCCTGGCGCTGGCCCTGCTGGTCGGGCTGTTCCTGAGCGGCCTGGCGGGCGCGATCCCGCCCCCGGGCGGCGGCCGGGCCCGGGCCAGGCAGGCGCCACCGGCCTCCCGCAGCCGCTCGGTGCTCCTGGACGCGGCGGCCGGCCAGCTGCGCCTGGTGGACGGCCTCCACCCCGACGCCGTGGCCTGGGCCAACCTCACCAACGCCATCCACGAGACCGGGTGAGGGTTGGCGCTCCGCGCGGGCCGCCGGGGCAGGGGGCCGGCCCCGCTCGGTGAGGGCGCCCTGGCCCCCGGGCTCACTCGCCCGCCGCCAGGCTGCGGCTCCCCGTCCCGGCCAGGCCCGCGGGAGGCCGAGGGGCGCCCCTCGCCCGCGGTGACTGCGCTTCCGCCCCTGAGACGTCAGCCGCCCACCACCCAGGCCCCAGGGCCGTAGCCGGGGTAACACAGTGACTTCCATCCGGGGCCGGCCCCTTCTCCCCGCCGCTGTGGGGCTGGCCCTCCAGGGGGCGGCCTCTGCCTTGCCGGGCTGTGGCGGGCGTGTGGCTGCCGGCCCCCGCCTCTGCTCCACAGCCGGGCGGCACGACCCAGCCTGGAGCGCAGGCCAGTCCGAGAGCAGGGGCTCTCTAAATCCACACAGTCCCAGGTGGTGCCCTTGCCGCGGCTCTGCTCCGCCCTTCCCTTCTCCTCCTGGCCCGGGGAGAAGTCCTTGGCCAGATGCTATGGAGCCGAGCGCCCGGTGCTTGGCAGTCCTCGTCGCTCTCCTTACTGGCCGACCCACGCTGTCATTCTGATGTGTGAGTCTCACCTAACTCCCCCGCCTGTCTGGGCTCCCACGTCCCCATCTGTGGCCCAGATTTCGAGAATGTGCTCTGGTTCGGGGGTGGCGTGGTGCCCTTCCTAGGCCTGTACAAGGGCTTGTGCCTGTTCGTTTGTTCATTCTCCTGGTGCTTGGTCCGAGGGACACGGGGCCGAGCAAGGTGGGGTTCCTGCCCGGTGGGAGAGACAGTGGCAGAAGGGAGACCAGGGTGAGCAGGGCCTGGGCCCTGGATCCAGGCTGTGTTGGGGGGTCTTAGGGAACCCTGTGTGCCCCCCACTCCATCCTGGGCATATCCCAGTGTCCCCTCCAGCAGGCACAGCCAGCACTGCTGCCCCCATCTATTTTGCTGGTATGCACTGACTTCTGCAGGCACTGGGGAGACACAGGAGGCTGAGGACACCCCCATTCTCAGGGGACATGGGGGTGTCAGATAGATGGGAGATTTGGGGGAGAGATTTGCTACAGACGCAGGAGCTAGGTGGGGCAAGCCGGGAAGGCTCCCGGGGAGAGGAGGCCACGAGGTGGGCTAGCATCTACAGAGAGAACTGAAGCTTTGTGGCTGGCCACAGGGGCTGCCGGGACTCTGACGTCTGGTGGCCCATTCTCTGCTGACTCATACGTGTTTTGGGGCCCGGTTAGCAGAGCGGGAAGGGCATGGCAGGTCTCTGCTGGACGCTAGCGAGGGAGGGGGCGCAGGCGAGGCCCAGCATGGGGAGGGGGCTTTGCCTGAGGAGCCCCCACTGGCCTGTATTGCTCCCAGTTACAGTAAGCATGGACGTGGAGAGAGGGCGTCCTTGACTGTGCTGGATGGAAAGTTCTCCCAGGCTCAGCCCCACTGCTGTGTGACGTTCGACAAATCCCTTCACCTCTCTGAGCCTGTTTCTTCCCCTCCAGGTGGGACTGAAAGGGTCACAGAACTTAAGTGGGGAAACAGAAAGCTCCGCTGTTTACTGACAAGAGGAATGAGTAGAGGAGAAATCAGCAGGTGTCCTTTGCCCTCATTGTACAGTTGGGGAAACTGAGGCCTGGGTGGGGAATCCAGGCCTCTTTATGCTTCCCGCTCTCCCCTCACCATCCTGGCATGTTTTCTGTGCCGTCTCTCATTCCTGCCTATTCTGCTCATGTGCCCCTTTCCCTCTGAGTTTGCCAGCACTTGAGGATGATGCTGGGAAAACCGTATTGGAAGCCCCCATTTTATAGGCAGGGAAACTGAGGCCCTCAGAAACAGCTTTTCTAGGACTCAGGGGTAAGGTGAAAGAAGAACTTCCGGGGTGTCCTGGCCCCGGATCAGCAGACTCTCTGATCTGTGGGGGACTGTCACATTGTTTCCGAAGAGTGAATGTTGGGAATTTGACTCCTGTTCGCCCAGAATTGAGGTCCCTCCTCCTTTCTGGTGAAATCCCCAGATTTTGCCACTGGGGATCCTGGGATTGTCAGGATGAGTTCCCCGTGCCCCCATTACCCTTCCTCTTTCCGTGGTGCTGTGTCTGATTTTGGACCCACACTCCCCAGGCAGCCTGGAAACCTTTAGGATTTGGTGGTTGGAGATCAGAGGTGCGCCTGGGGCATCTCCAGCTTTCCTTTTTCTTTCTGCCAATATCCAGCACCTTGTTCTTGAGGCTGCTTGAAGCAAATCAGCTTTGGGTTGAGAGAGGAAGTGAACAAAAATAAGACGGAATTAACAAATTAGTAATCCCGGATACAGCCCAAAGCCACCAACCAACGGGCAAAAACCCAGCTCTGTAAAATGGATAAATACGGTCCAGCTGTTTCCGGGAAAAGTTGCAAGAGGTAAATGTGTACACTCAGGAATGAGAAGGTGGGCCGGGCCCGGTGGCTCACGCCTGTAATCCCAACACTCTGGGAGGCCAAGGTGGGAGGATCACTTGAGCTCAGGAGTTCAAGACCAGCCTGAGCAAGAGCAAGACACCATTGCTACTAAAAATGGAAAGAAATTAGCTGATCAACTAAAAATAGAAAAATTTAGCTGGGTGTGGTGGCACGTGCCTGTAATCCCAGCTACTGGGGAGGCTGAGGCAGGAGGATCGCTTGAGCCCAGGAGTTTGAGGTTGCTGTGGGCAAGGCTGACGCCAAGTGCTCTCTAGCCCGGGCTACAGAGCGAGACTCTGGTTAAAAAAAACAATGAGCAGGGGTGGTGACCACAGATGGGGGCATCCCACATAACGAAGGGCAGCCACACTGTGCTGCAGAGTGGCCGCTGATAAAGAGATACTGTGACCCCCAGCCAGTGGTCCTGCTTTTTCTAACGTGGCCTTTCTCAAGAGGCCCCTTGATTAGACTCTTGAGTTGCCTTAGAGGCATTAGCTGCCCCTGACATAAAATCACAGTGTGGCCCATAGATTTCCCAGAAAAATAAAAAAAAAGATTGGGGAGACAGATCCAAGTGCTGCTAATTTTTGTCAAGCAAGTGCATTAAACACAAAGCAGAACAGTATTTATCGACCTGTGTCAATATTTATATCATAAAAGTTCAGCAATTTTAGAACCAAACAAGCGGAAAGGACATAATCCCTGAGAAAAGAACAGTCTTTAAAAAGACATCTAGTTACAGAAACACGCTAAAGCAGCTGTCCTCAAACTACGGCCTGCGGGCCACACGCGGCCCTCCGAGGACACTTATCCGGCCCGCCGGGTGTTTTTGCCACCGCTGCCTGTCCTGCTTAGCAGCCGGCTCGTCCCGGGCCCACAGTGCGCATGCGTGGAATGTGCACCGCACTCTCCAACGGTCTGAGGGACAGTGCACTGGCCCCCTGTTTAAAAAGTTTGAGGACCCCTGCAAGTGTTTCCTTTTGGCCAGCGACTGAGACAGAGTTTGTCAAAGTCGTCATTCAGCACAGCGGCAAGAGATTTCGCAGTCTGTCTGCTGAAGTCCGAGCCTCCCCATTTTACAGACGGGGCAGCGGAGGCTGGCAGGGTGGGAGGAGGCAGAGCTTCCGGTTTAATAGCAGAGACATCTAGGTTCAGGTCCCTGCTGGGCACTTCCTACAGGTGACTGTGGGCAGCTGCCTCACTTGAGTGATGAGAATCCTTTGATGAGGGCCTGAGGCCAGGCTCAGGGCTCCAGCGCTGAAATCCGGCAGCTTAGCGCTAAACCTCAAGAATGAGGATCTCCCCCACCCCAGGGGCTCTGGAAAGACTCGTGTTGCTGGCCACATGCCACCTGTGTGGGTTTCCTGAGGACTCAGGCAGAACGAACAAAACCCGTGTGCCCGGAATCAGCCCGGGTGCCCTTCGGAATAAGGTAGAACACACGAGAAAAGGCCAGGGCTGCTCCCTGAGCAGAGGCGGCCACGGAGTCCTGGTGTGTGGGATGTGGCCTGGGTTGGTGGAGCCATCACTTTCCACTCATCCTTCTCCCGTCTGCCCCGCTTGAACCAAGCCACAGCGCACTTCTTTTTTAAATTTGTGTAGTTATTATAAACGTTACTAATTTTTCATGATAAAAATTTTAGCAGACAAAATTTTCATGACAAAAATTTTAGAAGGGTAGGATGGGAGATAGGAAGTAAAAACCTCCTGCCCGCCCCTCCCCCATTTTTCTTTACAGATATAACTGCTGTTAGCTCTTTGTTCCAGAATTTTCTATGCATGAACAGGCCTAAACGTACTTGTATACATATGTATATGCAGAGGTGTGTATGTGTGCGTAATACTTTTATACATGGGGTTATCCTCTGCCCACTGTTTAGCCTTCTCTGCTTTTTTTGTTTTTTTTGAGGCAGGGTCTCGCTCCGTCACTTAGAATGGAGTACAGTGGCGCAGTCACAGCTGAATGCAGTTCCGAACTCCTGGGCTCAAGCGATCCTCCTGCCTCAGCCTCCCAAGTAGCCAGGACTACAGGCACGTGCTACCATGCCTGGCTAATTTTTTAATTTTTTGTAGAGACAGAGTCTTGCTATGTTGCTCAGGCTGGTCTCGAACTCCTGGCCTCAAGAGATCCTCCAGCCTCGGCCTCTCCAAGTGCTGGGATTGCAGGTGTGAGCCACCGCATTCAGCCACTCTCCTTTTTTTTTTTTTTTTTTTTTTAACTTTACCTCTGGCCTCATCAGCTCACAGCAGACTGTGGTTCTAGAAACCCAGGCGTGTATGGGTAGATCACTGTTGCAGGGCCCTCATGGTGGACATTTTGGAGGGCCCAGTTTCCCAGGTTTTGGTGGAAAGCACTGCTGTGAACAAGGACCCTGCCATGCGTCTCTCTTCCATCTGCCTGGCAAGCTCCTATGTAAACCTCAAAACCCAGAATAGCTGTCACCTGTTCCATGAAGGCTTCATTGATTTTACTCACGTAGCAGCAACACGCTTCTTTAGGACAGCCCCTTGGCACTTTATTCCCTTTCTCGTCATGGTAGTTACCCTGGGATGTCATTATCTGTTTCCTGCCCTGTCTCTTCCCCCCATGAGCTTTGCGAAGGCCAGGGCTGAATGTCATTCATCCTCACGTACCCTCAGTGTCTGGCACCCAGCAGGCACTCAGAGGGTACTTGGCTGACCGTGTCGGGTGTGGGTACTTGGAGTCTTTCCCTTTCCAGAATCTTCTCCAGGGCTGAGCTGTGTCTGCCCTGGACCCGACCAGGGGCTTTGTAGCCAGGGTCCCCAGGCCAGCCCTGGCTGAGCCTGACTGTCCCGTCTTGTAGCCTCTTTGAGGTCTCTTCAGTGTCTTCCTGTTGCCCTCACTTTCTTAATAGAAATAGTCTTAAAAAATGCTTCCCCCCTAGTTGTAGTAGTGACACGAATAAATACTTTAGTGTCCTTGGAGGAAAAATGTAATCTGGATCGTAAAGGAAAAGATTGCTAGGTCTGGCTGCACAAAAGCAAACACTTCTACATGGCAAGGACAAATGCAAAATCAATTAAAATGCAAACATTTTCAGTATTAACAATAAGCAAAGACCTAATACATATAGAATTTCACCAACCAATAAGAAAAGACTTTTTAAAAACCCAAGAGAAAAAAAAGTGGATAAAGGGTATCAACCCCAGAACTATAAATGACCAATAAAAATAAGAAAATGTATATAACTGAACTAATTAAAGAATTATAATTCATTAAAGCAACATGATGGAATTTTTCAACTTTCACTGGCGAAGATGAAAAAGTTTGCTGGGAATCATTTTAAGTGAGGGAGGGGCAACAGGAGTTTGCTGATGGGAGAGAGGCAGTCTCGGTCCAACCCCTTTAGCAGACCTCCAAGTCTACCTCCTGACAAGGGCTTCAGGTGACCAGGACATCCATCAGAGTCCAAGAAGTGCTGCCTCAGAGGAGTGGGAGCCAGCCTGCCCGGAATCGAATCCTGCCCCTGCCAGCTCTGTGACCCTCCAAGCGTATCAGCTGGTATCGGGCAGCAGAGCCGAGTAACAAACCAGCCCCAAACCCAGTGGTGTAGACCAATAACGCGGGGCCTCGTGGATCCGTGGGGCGGCTGTGCTTCACGCCGCAGACCCGGTCTGCTCCACGCGGCTCCCGGGTTGGCGTGGCCAGTGGGCCAGCCGGGCACGCCCTTCCGCGTGGCGATGGCGGAGCCACGAAGGGCAGGCGGAAACACGGGCGGCCTCCCAACGGCCGATCCTGCAGCTGGCACACTCCCGCGTCCCATCCGGCGAAGCGGGAGCCGGAGCAGGGCGCAGGGAAGGGAGGACGCGCGGCCGTCGGCGAGGAGCTGCTGGGAAGTCACCTAGCACAGGGCGTGCATTCGGGCTGGCGGTGGCAGTCTGCCACAGCAGGGCCGTGACTCTGCTTTAATTTCCTCCTCTTCCTCACGGTGGGGACAGTAATACCACCTACCTCGTGGGACTGCAGGGCTAGCGTGGGGTCTATGAGTTAGTAGACATGAAAGTAGCCCCCCGATCGATGTTAGCCGGCCGGCGTTCTTGTGGGTGAGAGAATGCAGACGGGGGGCAGCTTTTGGGGAGAGGCTGTTTGTCAGTATCCGTTAAAATGGAAAATACACGTGTCCTTTGACCCAGCAGTTCCTCTTTCAGGGATTTAGCGCAGCAAACGGCTGTGGCCCGCTGTGTCAACCGTGGAGACAGCTGGGCGTCTAGCTGCCCCTGCCCGGACTGAGTGTCTCCTCCTTCCCCCCTCCAGGTGGGCCTTTCTGGAGCTGGGCACGAGTGGCAGCTACAATGACAGCCTGCAGGCCTACGCGGCTGGCGTGGTGGAAGCCGCTGTGTCCCAGGAGGTAAGGGCCACAGTGGGGACCTGGGGCCCCCAGCCTGCCTCACCCCCAGGGTGTCCCCAGGGTGCCTTCGGGTTTTTTGGGGGGAGGTTTTAAGGTATGTGCAGAGAGAGTCTGTCCCCACCCATGCCCATAGCCCTCCATCTAGCTGGGGAGAAGAAAGCTCACATGCATTCTTTAAAAAATGACACAGGTACTATTCGATACGTAGAAGAACCACGTAACATATTCTAAGTTACGAAGCACAATAATAAAGTGAGCGCCCACACTAGAACCGAGAATGTTGCCGGTGCCATTGAACACCCCTGACCCCGCTTCCTGGCCCCGCAGTGCCGCCCACCACCCTGAACGTGATCGCTGCCATTCCCTCGCACTCATCCACTCATTCCTTATATTGACATGTAATTCACATGCGATAAAGTTCACCACTTAATAATGTACGTTTCACTGCTTAGTGTGTTCATAAGGTTGTGCAACCATCGCCACTGTCTAATTCCAAGACATTTTTGTCACCCCAGAAAGAAACCCCAGACTCATTGGCCAGTAACTGTGCCCCACTCCCCAGCGCCCCGCCCCTCCTACTCCACTGCCTGGCTCTGTGGATTGGCCTGTTCTGGACATTCAACGCAACCACGCACTATGTGCCCTTTTGTGACTAGCTTCTTCCACTTAGCGTGTTTTCAGAATCCATCCATGTCGAGGCGTGTATCAGCGCCTCATTCCTTTTCACTGCCGAGTAATATTCCGCTGTGTGGATGCACATTTTTGTCTGCCCTTCCTCCGTGGGTGGGCGTTTGAGCTGCGTCCGCCCCCTCACTCTTGTTAAACTGCTTTTGCTGCACGCGATGAATCCCTGAGCAACATGCTATTTTGCTTTACCTGATTTTGAGTTCTACAGAAGTGATAATTATGCATTTAAGAAGGCAGCATCAGAAGCAAGCAAGGCTGTGGAGTGACGGCCACCTCCCACGCAGGGGTGGGGGTGGCATTAGCTTGAGGGCATGAACCTGCCCTAGGACCCGAGGCTCACTCCTTGGGTGTGTACCCTGGAGTGACCTAGGGACGGCACGAGGTGCTCAAGGCGGCCGGAGTGGGGGCACGCGCGATGCCCCGCGGGCGGCCAGGCGTCAGCGTGAGGCTCAGTGAGCGCGAGGGCAGCGGAAGTGGGTGGGCAGCGAGGGTGACCTGGGATGCCTGGTGGCGAGGGGGGGACACCCCGGGGGATGCCTGCTTATGGAATTCGCACCGCGCCTTCTGAGAGCCCCTGCGGGTTGGGATGGCCCCCCGGGACCCGCAGCGTCTGGGCAGCGTTCCTGTGCCCGGCCGGGCCGCTTTGGGTGCTGGCAGGGAAGGAGACACGCCTGACCCCTGGGGGGGACGCTGAGGCAAGGTCAGGCGTGGGGGAGGAGTCCGCAGCACCTGCCCCGGCCCTGCCCCCCGCAGCTCATCTACATGCACTGGATGAACACGGTGGTGAACTACTGCGGCCCCTTCGAGTACGAGGTCGGCTACTGCGAGCGGCTCAAGAGCTTCCTGGAGGTCAACCTGGAGTGGATGCAGGAGCAGGTGGCGCTGAACAAGGACTCCGTGTACTGGCACCAGGTGGGCCCGGCTGCCTCGCCCAGTGGCGGGGAGTGGGGGACGGGGGGTTGGGCCACCACAGAGGCGGCCAGGCCCCCAGCTGGCCGCATGTCCTGTCCCCTGTGCTGCCGGTCAGCCCTGTGGCGTGTCCAGCTGCACTGCCACCCCGTCCCCATTCTTATCCCCATCCCTCCTGGCTGACCAGCCACTCGGCCCCTCAGTCTCCACGTGTCTGAACTTCCGTCTGTCCATGTGTGTCTTCAGAGTGGCTGAAAACACAGCCGTGGTGCACTGTCGCACTTGCACACGGGAGGTCGCCCGGTAGGTTGCTTCCGTGGCCGCTTCTGTGGGCGCAGTGCCCGCTGGCGGGTGGGGGACTGACGGGCCGGGGGGCTGGGGAAGCTGGTCCTCTGTTCCCTCGGCCGATGGAGCGCCCGGCCGTGCCCACCTTTGAGCTGCGGCGTCCGCAGTGGGAAGGTCAGTTCTTTGTGAATTCCCTGAAAAGCCTCAGGAGTTTGACTGCAAAGTGCACGTGACAGGCTGGCCTGGGACATGGCCATCCATCCCCGGTCCACCTGGCTCAGGCCAGGTTCGTGTTGTTGCCTTCAGTAGAATTTGTCACTGTCCACCCACCTACCCACTCACCCCCGACCTGTCCACTCACCCACTGCACACACACCCCTCCACCCGTCCCATCATCCATCCACCCCCCTGCCCCAACCTGTCCACCCCACCACGTCCATGTACCCACCCCAGCCCGTGCCATCATAACCCACCCCAGCCGTCAACATACATACCCACCCACACACATCGCATCACCACCACCCCACACACGTCAATCTACCCACCCAGCCGTCGCCTACCCACCTGTCCACCTGTCCATGCTACCCCACACCACCCACGACGTCCATTCTAACCACCCACCCACACAGTCCATTACCCACCCCACCTCACACGTCCCATCTACCCACCCACCCACACGTCCATCTAACCCACCGCCACCACACGTCCATCTACCCACCCACCCAGCCGTCCATCTACCCACCCACCCAGCCGTCCATCTACCCACCCACCCACACGTCCATCTACCCACCCACCCACACGTCCATCTACCCACCCAGCACCACGTCCATCCTAACCACCCCCCACACGTCCATCTACCCACCCACCCAGCCGTCCATCTACCCACCCACCCACACTCCATTCCTACCCACCACCACACGTCCATTCTACACCCGCAGCCGTCCATCCACCCACCACACCACCACGTCCTCCTTACCCCACCCACCCACACGTCCATCTACCCACCACCCCAGCTCATCTACCACCGCAGCGTCCATCTACCACCCACCCCACATCCATCCCTAACCAACCCAACCCCCACCACGTCCATCGACTACCCACCCAGCCGTCCATCCTACCACCCCACCCACACTCATCCGCCTAACCACCCCACCCACACGTCCATCTACCCACCCACCCCAGCCGTCCATCTACCACCCACCGATCTACCCACCCCGCCGTTCCATCTACCCACCACGGACCAGCCGTCCATCCTACCCCACCCACCAGGTCCACTCTACCCACCCACCCACGACGTCCATCTACCCACCACCCCAGCCGTCCGTCTCCCACCAAGCCACTACCCATTTATCCACCCACCCACGCCCGTACATCCTCCCATTTATCCACCCACCCGTCCATCCCTCCCTTGTCCGTGTGTCCAGCTCACCTGCTGGACAGGTGAGCTCCACCTCCTCCTCCACCTCCCCTCTTCCCCTCATCTACCCGAGTCCCCACCTGCCCAGCCCAGCCCAGCGTCAGTGCTTCCGTCCAGCCGCCCTGTTGATGGACCCCATTTAGTTGCCCGTCCTTCGTCCACCTGTCCCTCCACCCTCACAAGCTGCCTCCCACCCGCCTGCCCATGAGCTGTCGGACCCCCCATCTCCGTTCCCATCCTCCCCGGCCGTCTCGGGCTGCGTCACGTCTGCTCTGTCTCCCTGGGGCTGCGCAGTGCCTGGGACGAGCCCACGCTCCTCTCTGCGGCCTCAGCGCCTGCTCTGCCTCTCCCTCCCCAGCTCCCTCTCCCAGTCGCCGCCTCCTCTCCCTGCTCCTGCCTCCCTGCCTGCCAGGCCTCCTCGCAGGAGACGACTTACCCCTGCCCCAGGGCCTTGAACACCTGCTCCTGCTGCCCGGAACACTCTTCTCCCCCCACCCCTGCCACCTGGCTACCCCTCCACGTGCCTCACCTCTCCTCACCCCTCCCTTTCTCACTGAAGGGAGAAACTCTAGCGAGGAATTCAGGGCCCGTCTTTTCAACTCCGAGCCCCCTAGGGCCATGTCTGCTCTGTCCACTGTGATGTCCCCCGTGCCGAGCAGTGTCTGATGTTGAGGCAAAGCAGTGACAGTGGGGAGAAGTCAGATGCGTGAGGCAGGTGCCTGAGGCAGCAGCACAGGCAGGAACTAAAGTCAGGCCAGGCTGGGAGGCTTCCTGGAGGAGGAGGCCTTTGAACTAGGCTGTTTAGTGGAAGCCAGTTGGGGTCAATGTAGGGTGATTCATTGAAAGCAGGAGGGTGCGCAGCACGGAGCCCCCACCCATTGCAGGAGAAGGTGTGAGCCTGGGGGAGAGGCCTCACCCTCCCTCTGCCCCCGCCCCCTCCCCCAGGTGCGGCTGACCCTCCTGCAGCTGAAAGGCCTGGAGGACAGCTACGAAGGCCGTGTGAACTTCCCGACTGAGAAGTTTACCATCAAACCCTTGGGCTTCCTGTAAGTGTCGCCCCCAGAGCGGACAGGGTGGGGGACAGGGCCATGCACCTGCTGGACAGACCGAGGTCCTAGTGCTAGCTTTGCCACTTCCTGGTTCCATGGCCTCGGACCAGTCAGCTAACCTGACCCTCAGCCTTCTCCTCTGTGAAGTGGGTACATCACAGCACCCAGAGCAGGCGCCGTAACCCTCCGGTGCCCCGGCCCTCCCCAGCCTGCTGCAGATCTCGGGGGACCTGGAAGACCTGGAGCCCGCCCTGAATAAGACCAAGGTCAAGGCTGCCCTGGGCGCAGGCTCCTGCTCCGCCCTCATCAAGCTGCTGCCGGGCCAGAGCGACCTCCTGGTCGCCCACAACACCTGGCACAGCTACCAGCACATGCTGCGCGTCATCAAGAAGTACTGGTTCCAGTTCCGGGAAGGCCCACGGGGTAGGCGGGAGTGGGGACACACGGGTGGGGGGCCTGGGAGGGGTGGGCAGCCGCGCCCCACTACGCGCACACGCGTCCCTTGGGGCCGTCGCAGGGGTTCGATTTGCCTTTTAACATGTTTGTTTCCTTTCAAGTGTTTACTTTTCAAGGTGGGTCATGTGGCCGCCCCACGTGACCAGCCACGCCCACGTTTAGAACAGCAGAAGCTTAAACCACAAGCATTGGGGGTTTGCTCCCGTGTCCGGGGGTCGGCTGGTGGTCTGGTATTTGGGGCAGGCCGGGCTCACCGGCGCTGGGCGGCGTGCGGCAGGTCAGCTGGGCGGGCGCCCGGCCCTCCCGCGTCTGGGGGTGACCAGAGCCGGCAGCTGGCCTTTCTTCCCAGCAGGCGAGCCCAGGCTCGTCCCTGCGGCGTCTGGGCAGGGACGTGCTGGCCTCTGGAGGCCTGGTTTTGAACTCCTGGCCTCAAGCAATCCTCCCGCCTCAGCCTCCCGAAGTGTACCAGCTTTTACGTTTACACGCGCACACGCACACACACACATGTCAAAGCGACCTCGTTTGCTAAGTGACAGAAGGGATGGGCTGGGGCGTCCTCTGGGGCGGGCCTGCTTCCCGCCTTGAGACCCAAGTCTTGGGTGGGGCGCGGGGCCCTGCATGCGCCTGTCTGACCCGCGCGCCCGCCCCACTGTCCCCCGACAGATGACGACCCCCTGGTTCCCGGCAACAAGGTGGTCTTCTCCTCCTACCCCGGCACCATCTTCTCCTGCGACGACTTCTACATCCTGGGCAGCGGGCTGGTGAGTCCCCTCTCGTGTCTCCTCTGTCCCCGGGGTGTTTCTCCCCAGCAGCTCTGGGCCAGGGGGACAGGGCAGGAGCTGGGGGGGGCGGTGGAGGACCAGGTGGACGCAGCCCCCGCCTGCCGCCCTGGGCCCACACCAGGCCCTGCCCTGGGACTTGGACCCCCACGAGGGCTCGTGGAAATGCAGACTCCCAGGTCCCACGTGGGAAAACCTGCAGCTGGCCTGGGACTCTGCATCCTGCCACTCGTCTGGGGACCTTTGGGGGCATCCTTGACCTCAGTGGCTTCATTTTGCTTTTATGTATTGAGGATAAACCTCCCACCTCTCTCACCTCTCTCCCCTGCATTCCCACTTGCTTTCCCCAGAACCCGCTGACCTGGCCGGGTTTTCTGAATCGAGTTCTTTTACAATGTGTTGTTTTTATCGTTTTTCCTGGCTGGGGTCCAGACTCATTTAGAAATCTGTTCCTGGCATCCCAGCGAGGCCCACGATCACCAGGGCAACGCTGCAGGGGAGAAAAAACATCACTTTGAGAAACACCCTCCGTGCAGAGGAGGCCAGCTCCCTGTGGGTCTGGGGCGGGAGGGACTCCATGGCCTGTCCTGTTTCTTTGCTCTTCTCTCCTTTCTTTTTTTCTTACAGGGTCTTATTCTGTTGCCCAGGCTAGAGTGCAGTGGCAACATCATAGCTCACTGTAACCTCAAACTCCTGGGCTCAAATGATCCTCCTGCCTCAGCCTCCCAAGTAGCTTGGGACTACAGACATGTACCACCATGCCCAGCTAATTTTTAATTTTTTTGGTAGAGATGGGATCTTGCTATGTTGCCCAGGCTGGTCTCAAAGGTCCTGAAGCGATCCTCCCACCTCGGCCTCCCAAAGTGCTGGGATTACAGGTGTGAGCCACACACCTGGCCTGGCCACTTTTTTCTAAGTGTGGAATGATACAGGAGAGGGCCAGGCAGTGGGTGGGGAGTGAGGCAGCTGGAGGGGCCAGTGTACATCCAGAGAAAGGCATGTTAGCATTTCTGGAGGCCTGGAGATTCAAAATATCAGATCATTTCATATCTAGAACTCCCATATTCATAATATGCACTGGGGAAAGTCAAGTTCAACAAAATTGCCTTGGCTGTTGACATAAGTTTTGTTTTTAACAGGTAAGGCTTTATTCATAGAGTCTGCAAGACAGACAGGGGTGCAGGAGGACATGGGGGGTGGATTGTAGGCAGCGGCGGGCACCTCCCCTGCTCCTCCTCCTGTTATAGGGTCTCCAGGGCCGCTGGCCGCAAGGTCTGCCAGGCTAACGGCCTCGAGCCACCTGACTTTCCCTGCAGAATTGCAGGGACAGGCTGGGAATGGGGTGCGTCTTTCTGGGGCAACTTGGTGAGAGAGTAACTTCCTAGGAGTCCCACTCAAAGGCTGCCTTGGGGGCTGTTCCCCAGGGCAGAGCTGCGTGGGTGCCTGACCCTGAATTCCTCTCAGTGCTTCTCCGCGGAGCCAGAGAGGAGCAGTACCTAAACTGGGATATGAGTTTTAAAAAAACTGTTCAACACTCGATTAGGAACCACGGCAGATGCAGCGCTGCCACTTGGTGGCAGCGTGCCCAGGTCGTGCAGCACCCCCTGGGCTGTCCCGCAGGTCGCACTGGAGACCACCATTGGCAACAAGAACCCGCTGCTGTGGAAGTACGTGCAGCCCGGGGGCCGCGTGCTGGAGTGGGTGCGCAACCTGGTGGCCAACCGCCTGGCCCTGGACGGGGACTCCTGGGCAGACGTCTTCAAGAGGTTCAACAGTGGCACGTGAGTGGGCTCCCGGCCCTGTGGCCTCCCCGCCCCCAGTGACAGACCGACCCTCCCCTTAACGCTCAGGCCTCGGGGACCCGGGGTGGCACCAGGGCCACACACCCACACCTCTGCAGAGCCCCCCACGGATCGTCACTGGGGTTGCAAGAATCCTAGCGTCCCCTCCCTCATCGTGTACCTGGGGACACTGTAGGTGGGGGGTGGGGGATCTGTGCCTCCCGGGCAGGCTCCTCAGCCCAGGAAGAGAACTTGGAACGCGGGGGCTCTGGGCGGAGTGGGGCGGGCTGCTGGGCGCCGCTACGGGGATGGCAGCGCCTGTGACCCAGGAACATTCGGGTCCTGCAGGGTCTTGGGATGTCTGTCAGAGGAACTCACCTTTGCTCTGATGAGCACTAGGAAGCCATAGAATACTCTGGAACAGGCAAGCAGCATGACCAGAGAGGGGTTTGCAGACACCTGGTCAGCCTGCAGTATCAGGGTGACAGTTGAATGGCCAGACACCCCCAGGCCCACTGCCCCCGGTTCCTGGCCGTGTGGGGCCCTGGGGGCAGGGGACACGGGGCAGTGGCCCCAGGCTCTGCTCAGTCCCCGTGCTTGCGCACGGCAGGTACAACAACCAGTGGATGATTGTGGACTACAAGGCGTTTGTCCCCGGCGGGCCCAGCCCGGGGAGCAAGGTGCTCACCGTCCTGGAGCAGATCCCGTGAGTGTCCGGGGCGAGGGGCAGGGGGCTCCGGGCAGAGGCCTGGCAGCGTGCTGGAGCCACGCGGGGGTGGGAGAGAGGGCCGTCCGGGACGGGGGCTGCAGGCTCCGGACATAATCCATCCCCCAGGCAATGGGGAGCCATCGGGGGTTCTTGAGCAGGGCAGTGCTCGTGGGAGCCCCTTTTCTGACCACCTCTGCCCCATCTCTGCTGGTCCCAGGGGCATGGTGGTGGTGGCGGACAAGACCTCGGAGCTCTACGAGAAGACGTACTGGGCCAGCTACAACATCCCGTACGTGCCCCTCCCCGTCGGCCTCGCCCCTGCTCAGCTCTCCCTGCGGGCGAAGGCTCCTTCCCGGCTGATACTTCAAGCCCAGAGAGCACAGAAACCCCACCCACCCCTTCTCTAGCCAGGAAGGCCCTGACAGTTTTGGGGTGCAGTTGCGTGGCTTAGGCCAGCATCTATGTGACCTCCTAGTTCTGGCACCCACAGCAGGGTGGCACGGGACGCCCACGCCCAGGGACTGACCCCTGCCAGGGTCTCCAGCTGGATCCGGAGCTGCAGAGCCGCCACCTTGGGGCTCACTTATTTTACCTGGTTACCGCATTTGAGCCTCTGACTGCTGCACACAGTAGCTGTGTTTCCTGTTCCCATTTCACAGATGATGAAACCGAGGCTGGAGAGAGCGCCTAACTTTCCCAGGCTTCCCTGCTGGTGAATGGTAAAGCCAGGCTTTGAACCCATGTCTGTGGGACCCCAGGGCCCAGGCTCGGCCACCCTACCAAGCCACCACCAGCACAAATGAAAGTCGTTACCACCGCAGTCCCGACTGTCTTAGTTGTGATTATGTTCTGGTGTGACCACCCCTCCAGCTCCCGGCCACGGCGACAGCCTGTCGGGGCCAGCGTGGGTCGAGGGTGACAGTCCTTGTCCCCGGCAGGTCCTTTGAGTCTGTGTTCAACGCCAGTGGACTGCAGGACCTGGTGGCCAGGTACGGGGACTGGTTTTCGTATGACGGGAGCCCCCGGGCCCAGATCTTCCGGCGGAACCAGTCGCTGGTGCAAGACATAGACTCCATGATCCGGCTGATCAGGTGGGTGCAGGTGGGTGTGGGCGGGGGAGAGCGAGGCCGAGTCACTGGCACCTCCTGTGCACTTTGCTGCGCCGACCTGTTGGGGCCGGGGCCGGCGGGGTGGTCAGATGGTAGGGCCAGGGCTGCGGCCGCCAGCCTCACGTCACAGGGAGGCGCAGGGAGCGACAGGCACAAAACCTGCACCCTGAGGTCCCAGTCCCGGGGAGCGCCCTGTCTCCTGGGAGGTGCAGAGACCCGCCGATGTGTCCGCAGCTGTCGGATGCCCGGAAACGTGACCGAAGGCCACACGGTGCCTCGCCTGGCTTGGCGGGGGGCGTGGAGGGCCCCCGAGGAAGGTGCCGGAGCAGAGAGCTGAGTGACTGACGGGGGTGGAGCCCAGGCAGGGGCCGCGTCAGCACCGGCCTGGCGGCGGGAGGGGCCGGGCAGGTTGAAGCTGGCTGGCGGCTGTGGCACGGGTGGCCGCCATGAGGGTTGGCCTGTCCTCAGCCCCCCTTCCTGGTGTGACTGGGGTTCCTTCCTCTCCCCCAGGTACAATGACTTCCTCCACGACCCCCTGTCCCTGTGCAAGGCCTGCGAGCCCCAGCCCAACGCGGAGAACGCCATCTCCGCCCGCTCCGACCTCAACCTGGCCGACGGCTCCTACCCCTTCTCAGCCCTGCGCCAGCGCTCCCACGGGGGCATCGACGCGAAGGTGCACCCCGCCCTGGGGGGCCGGGAAGGCCGGTCAGAGCAGGACTGTGGTTGGGGTCAGGGTCAAGGTGACGGTGTGGGTTGGGGCCGGGTTCAGCGGCGGGCTCGGGGTGAAGGCTAGCGTGGGCCCAGGGCCCTGGCTCAGCCCCTCTCCGCCCTGCCCGCAGGTGACCAGCATGTCGCTGGCCAAGGCCCTGAGCCTGCTGGCGGTCAGCGGCCCCACGTGGGACCAGGTGCCCCCGTTCCAGTGGAGCGCCTCGCCCTTCAGCAGCCTGCTGCACATGGGCCAGCCCGACCTCTGGAAGTTCTCGCCCATCCGGGTCTGGTGGCAGTGAGGCCCGCCACTCTGCTGCCTTCGCCCCTGCCGCCCCGCAGGGCCCACCTGCCGTCAGCCCGGCCTCTGCCTGCCCCGGGACCTGCTGTGCACTGAGTGGGCAGAGTCTGCTGGATCGTTCTCCGGGTCATCTCCCCAGGGAGCGGCAGGGGCCCGGCCGGCTCCCCCGTCCCTGGAACGTCTCCTTTGCCTCCCCGCGACTTGCTCTGTCTCCGGCTTCTTGATCCCACCTCTGGGGCCCCATCCTGGTGTCCCTTCCTCCCGAGGGCTTGGAGGGGTCCTGGCGTCAGGCCCTGGGCCCCCGCAGCCCTCCAGCCTGGCTCCTGCTGGCGGCGCCCGTGGGCTTTCGGCCCGGGCCCTGGGCGTCCTCTCCGGCCGGCGTCCCTGCCCCCAGCCCCACCCCGCCCTGAGCGCCCTGGGAAGCAGCCCCCGCTCTCCCTTTCTGCACAGCTTCCTTAAGGACAGAAACTTGAAAACAAACCAAAACCAAAGTTTCTGGCCACGTGTGGCTGGAGGGTCCCGAGTGTCCTCACCTCGCCAGGGCAGGCGGGAGTGTCAGCCCCCCTGCTCCCGCCCCGCGCCCCCACCCGCCTGCCCCGGCTCCCTGCCGGAGGGAGCAAACCGCAGGCTGTGCCGCCATTAAACAGACGGGTGAGGCCTCGTGCGTGCCATGCTTCTTGGGGCCGAGGGGAAGGCGGGCCGGCGCCCTTGCTCCTCTCAGGTTTGGGTTTGCACCACATCCCGTGCGTCGTCCTGTCCAGCTTCTGTCCGCCCTGTGCATTCACGCACCTGCCAGCCCACCTGCCCACCCATCTGCACAGCCCCACCATCCGTCCGTCTTCCATCCATCTGTCCACTCATGTCACATCCATCCATCCACCCATCCACTCGCTAACTTCTGTCCATCCACGTATTTATCCACCCACCCACCCATCCGCCCACACGCCTTCACCCATCCACCCATCTGTCTTCCACTCACCTATCCATATCCATCCCTCTTCCATTTTCCGTCCATCCATCCGTCCACCCATCCACTCACTAACTTCTGTCCATCCACTTATTTATCCACCCATCCGCCCACACGCCTTCACTCATCTACCCATCCATCTTCCATCCATCCATCCACCTATCCATCCATCTGTCACCCATCCAGCCCTCCGTCCATCTACCCGCCCACCCACCCGTGAATATCTGTCTGTTCGTTTTCCATCCATCATCCATCATCCATCATCCATTCATATCCATTCAGCCATCCATCCATCCCGATGTTCTGGGTCCTCTTCTGGGGCCCTGTTAACCACCAAGACCTCCCTAAATCGTGCTGTGAGGTACAGACGCCTCCCCGTCTGCTGTCTCTCACACTGTCCCAGTGCTGTGTGCTTGGGGGGAGGAAAGCACACGGTCCAGAGACCTGGGTTCGAATCCTGCCTCCACATCTTGTTAACTATGGACTCGACCTCCCCGAGCCTTGGTAACCTGACCTGTAAAATGGGGTCACGATGTGAGCAGCATTTCCCTGGTGGGTGTTTTGCAGCCCGCACAGGGCCCCTCAGCATTCATTCATTAGCAAATGCTTATCGAGCCTCGGTTCGTGGTCCCGGGGTTGCTCATAACAAGCGCTGCAAAGACCCCCTGCTCTCAGCAGACACAATAAACAAACGTGCCGCGTGTGCCCTGCTGGTGAACGCTGTGGGGAACACAAAGCACGGACGGAGGCCGGGGCTGGGTTTGCTGTCCCTCCTCCCTGTATCGTCACCGTCCCTGCCATCTGGGAACCCGCAGCTTCTGGCTTGGAAACGGACTTTCTGCTGGTGCGTTCCCGGCTCCCCAGAGAGCGTTTTCCTACCCGAGCCTGTTCATCGTGGGGACAGCCTGCTGGCTGGGAGGGCTGGGATCTGGGGACAGCATGCTGGCTGGGAGGGCTGGGATCTGGGGACAGCATGCTGGCTGGGAGGGCTGGGATCTGGGGACAGCATGCTGGCTGGGAGGGCTGGGATCTGTGCGTGTTCAGAGGGGAGGAGGCGGAACCTCCTGGTGGTGCAGGCGGAACCGGGGTCACACCTGCTGTGTGCCTTTCGCTGAATTTTCGCAGCCGCTCCTGAGATTGGGGCTTCTGTGAGACCCACTTGGCAGGTGGACGAGCAAAGGGTCACTCTGGTTATTCCCCAGAACGATTCTGACCCCTCTTGCGGCTTCCTGGGAGGCGGATTGGTCAGGACGCCAGGCGCTCTGAACAGAGTGTGGGGGTTCCCGCCACTGGTCTCCCGCTGGGACGTCTGCTTCACAGAGGCAGCCATGAAGGCAGCATCCCCTGGCCCCTGAGTGCTGGGAGTTTCCCACAATCCTCAGCGTCAGGATGGCGGCTGCAGGTGCATCTGGGGGTCTGCCCCCCACAAAGGCCAAGGCTCTGGTCGGCTGATCAGCATGGTTCTTTTTTTTTTTTTTTTGAGACAGAGTCTCACTTTGTTGCCCAAGAGTGAGTGCCATGGCGTCAGCCTAGCTCACAGCAACCTCGATCTCCGGGGCTCAAGCGATCCTCCTGCCTCAGCCTCCCGAGTAGCTTGGACTACAGGCATGCGCCACCATGCCCGGCTAATTTTTTGTATATATATTTTTAGTTGGTCAATTAATTTATTTATATTTTTGGTAGAGATGGGGTCTCGCTCAGGCTGGTTTCGAACTCCTGACCTTGAGCAATCTGCCCGCCTCGGCCTCCCAAAGTGCTAGGATTACAGGTGTGAGCCACCACGCCCGGCCCACAGCATGGTTCTTAAACTTCACTTTGAACTTGGGGGCCCCCCAAAAGAGCCCTAGAAGCTGCTATAGGTGGTGAGGGGACATTCCGAGCGGTGGTTGGTGTGTGTGGGGTCCCTCCGACCCTGCAGCCAGCCCCGGCAAGTCCTCTTTGATCCCGAAGACGTGGGCTCCCGCTCAAACTTTTGTCGCAAGAGAAGGCTCCGTGTTTCGAGAGGGTTTGCAGGACATTGAGCTCTAGTCCACCCACCCCTTCCTTGTCCATGAGACGGTGTCCGGCGTCAATTTGCGCACCCCTCTGCTCCCAGCGGGCCTGGGATGAAACCTGACTCCCAGAAGGACTTCGAGTGTGGGGGGTCGCCTCACCTGCCTCTGCAACCGGATGCCTTGGTGCAGGCGGCTTTCGTCCCACCCGAGTCCCTCTGTGTAGCCACCCGCTCCCTGTGCTGTGAGGACGTCCCCTCCCGGCACGGCGCACAAGCCCAGCGGGAGTTGGGGCCTCACTGTCGGGGGTGAGTGGGGTCTGCGCCAGGTTAGAGCCAGGGCCGGAGCAGTCTTGGGGGGAGGAAGGAGGGCAGCACAGAAGGAAAAACTCAGAGAAGGATCTTTTTTTTCATAAATACATATTTTCAGTGAAAAAGTTTGCACCTTAGAAAAACGAGCCAGGGTGGGGGTTGGGCTTCCTGGACGAAGGCCGGGACGGCACGTCCGCCCCGGGCCAGAGGCCCTGTCCACTTCCCCAGGGGGAAGCCAGGGGGCCCCTCCCGCTGTGAGCAGGTCCCTGCCACCCACCCAGCCCTGGGGACCTGGCGTACTTGTGGGCGGTTGTCACCCTAGCGCAGTGGCCAAGGACAGGCGCAGAGCAGTCACGGAGATACGAGGACCCAACTCGGCCTCCCCGGCCACCGGCCCGTCCGCACGGTGGGCTGGCGGTGGAAGCCCACCCGCCGGCCCAGGCCGCAGGCTCCAACCAAACGAGGATATTTACAACAAGGCCTGGATAAAACTCCAGCCCCTCCAGGGCCTCCTGGGTCAGGAGGGGACACGTGGGCGGGGCGCCCTCACTCGGGCAGCCCGTTCTTCATGCCCAGCTGTTCCTTGAGGGCGCGCAGCTGGGCCAGGCTGATGTTGCTGCCCCCGCAGACGATGACCACCACGGACGGCAGCGGCACCCGGAGCTTGCCCTCCCCTTGCAGCTTCTGGACCACGCGGCTGTAGACGGCGGCCAGGGCCGCGCCGCAGGCTGGCTCCACCAGGATCTTCTCCTCATCTGCCGGAGAGGGGGCACGGTGAGGGTGGGGGCCTGGTCCCCAGGGTGGGAGGGACGGGCAGGCCACTGGGGGGCTTGGCAGTGCCCTGGCCACAGACTCAGGGCCTGGGGGGCATCGTGAGCACTAACACTGATAGGATGATTGGAATTGCCTGCGCACTGTGTTAAGAAGGATTCTGAGGTATCATCTGGGCAAGAGTGGGATGGTTGATTAACCAGGTTAGCTAAGCTAGCTGCGGATATAGGAGAATTAAGTGGCAGAATAAATGCTACCTGTTTTCTTTTCTTTCTTTCTTTCTTTTTTTTTTTTTGAGACAGAGTCTCGCTCTGTTGCCCAGGCTAGAGTGCTGTGGTGTCAGCCTAGCTCACAGCAACCTCAAACTCCTGGGCTCAAGCGATCCTCCTGCCTCAGCCTCCCGAGTAGCTGGGACGACAGGCATGCGCCACCATGCCCGGCTAATTTTTTCTATATATTTTTAGCTGGCCAATATTTTTTAGTAGAGACGGGGGGTCTCGCTTTTGCTGGTTTCTAACTCCTGACCTTGAGTGATCCTCCAGCCTCGGCCTCCCAGAGTGCTAGGGTCACAGGCGTGAGCCACCGCGCCCGGCCTACCATTTTTCTTTTAGAGAAAGGATCTCACTCTGTCACCCAGGCTGGGGTGCAGTGATGCAGTCATAGCTCACTGTAACCTCAAACTCCTGGGCTTAAGCAATTCTCCTTTCTCAGCCTCCCAAGAAACTGGGAATACAGGCATGCGCCACTGTGCCTGGCTAATTAAAAAAATTTTTTTTGTAGAGATAAGGTCTAGCTATGTTGCTCAGTCTGGTCACAAATTTCTAGCCTCAAGTGATCCTCTCACCTCAGCCTTCGAAAGTACTGGGATTAGAGGTGTGAGCCATTATGCCAGGACTTTTTTTTCCCCTGCCATCCCTGTCCTCTAGGCTGAACCCAGAAAGAGTCCAGCCTAGTTAGAGACCCACCTCTGAGTCCGACTCTGAGTCCCTTGCTGTTCTTTTTCACTCTGGCTACCAGGAAGCTCAGACTCAACATTTTAAATATTCAGTTATTGTTCACTGCTGTCATAGTTATCGACCTTACTTCTTCATTTGTGGCTTTCGGTTTTCTGTTTCTACACTGAATTATATTATCTTCCATTAACGGGATGTTCCAGGCAGGGATCGGAGAAAGAACTGGGAAGAAAATTTGGGGAAAAATGGGATCTCCTGGCACATACCCACAAACTTCTCGATGGCAGCCACAGCCTCCTGGTCCGAGATAACCTCGGAGAAGATGGGGTGTTCCTGGAACAGCTTCAGGGCCTGGGCTCCCACGGTCTTCACGCCCAGGGCCTTGGCAACACTGGGAGAGGTGGGGACAGAGAAGGGCGTAAAGGTGGAGGAAACAGAGCCAGGGGCCACGAACAGGGAGGACTTCTTGAGAAAGTGCCGGGCGCCGAGCACTTCATAAGCGTTAGTTAGCGATCAGGACAGTTTTTGCTGTTACCAATTGGTTCCATTTTATAGAAGGGGAAACAGAGGCAGAGAGTGTACGGTCGCTTGCCCGAGGTCGCGTGGCTAGGGAGTGGAGGCGCGGGGGCAGGGTCCGCGTAACCCCAGCACCGGCACTGGTGCCCAGTGGGCGGATGCCCTCCCCGGCCTCCCCGAGGGACCACTGGGCCTTTTCCCGGCCCAGCTCCCCTGTCGCCTCCCTCCTGGCCCATAGTGTCTTGATGGCCTGGCCCGTCACCCTTGGGCAGCACGTGGCTCCCGGCAGGCACTCAGCCAGAGGCCAACACAGCAGCTCCCGGTTACCGGGCTCAGGAATCCAGAAGTTCTTACCTGGATCCGGTCCTCTCCTAGCTACCGCAGAGCCTGTTGTCTGCCCCAACGTCCCTGCTAGCTGCCCATGTGGATGCCTGTATAGACACCTGCCAGCCTCACTTGCAGCTAGGTGTGGTCATGTGACCAAGTTCTGGCCAATGAGAGGTAAGTGGAAGTGTGTTTGTGTCTGTCTTTAAAGGTTGGGGCATAGGCCAGGCGCGGTGGCTCACGCCTGTAATCCTAGCACTCTGGGAGGCCGAGGCGGGAGGATTGCTTAAGGTCAGGAGTTTGAGACCAGCCTGAGCAAGAGCGAGACCCCGTCTCTACTAAAAATGGAAAGAAACGAATTGGCCAACTAAAAATATAGAGAAAAAATTAGCCAGGCATGGTGGCGCATGCCTGTAGTCCTAGCTACCCAGGAGGCTGAGGCAGAAGGATTGCTTGAGCCCAGGAGTTTGAGGTTGCTGTGAGCTAAGCCGATGTCATGGCACTCTAGCCTGAGCAGTAGAGAGAGTGAGACTCTGTCTCAAAAAAAAAAAAAAAAAAAAGAAAGAAAGAAAGCCTTCTGCCCTTGCTTTCTCCTTCCTGCGAGATGGGATGTGTCCAATAGTCAGCACTCAGGCAGCTGTTGTGGGCCATAAGCACGCATGCTAAGGATGGTGGGGCAACAAACTCAAGGGCCCTGGGACCCTGACTTCATGGAATTGCCCCTGGACTGTCCATCTCTAGATTTATTTTTTTATTTTTTATTTTTTTGAGACAGAGTCTCACTTTGTTGCCCAGGCTAGAGTGAGTGCCGTGGCGTCAGCCTAGCTCACAGCAACCTCAAACTCCTGGGCTCAAGCAATCCTCCTGCCTCAGCCTCCCGAGTAGCTGGGACTACAGGCATGCGCCACCATGCCCGGCTAATTTTTTCTATATATATTAGTTGGCCAATTAATTTCTTTCTATTTATGGTAGAGACGGGGTCTCGCTCTTGCTCAGGGTGGTTTCGAACTCCTGACCTCGAGCAATCCGCTCGCCTCGGCTTCTCAGCGTGCTAGGATGACAGGTGTGAGCCACTGCGCCTGGCTAGATTTATGTTTTTATATATGAGAGAAATAAAGTTCAATCCTGTTTAAGCCACTGCTATTTCGGGCTTCTGTGCAGTGCGGCCAAAACCTAACCCTAATTAAACACCGTCTGTGAACGGTTTGGGCTGTGAGACGAGCCTTGGGAGCAGGCGCTGTGACTCACCACTCTCTCCCCAGGGTCAGCCGGTGTCTTGTACGTATTAGGGGCTCAGTAGATAGTTGGCAAGTTAATGGGGTGTGTAAACCCCGACGCAGAGAAACTCAATAAATGATTAGCAGTAGACTTGCCATGTGAGAAAGTGTGACATGGTACAGAGTCTCATGCAGATTGGGTTCCAGTCCCCACTCTACCACTCACTGGCTGTGTGACTCTGGGCAAGCGACCAAAGCCTCAGTTTCCTCACCTGTAAAATGGGGCTGACACTGGGATCCACCTTGAGGCCAGTGTGTCCCCCATGCTTGCGGGACACCCGAGGAGGCGCTCCAGCTGCTCACCTGGTAATCTTGGGCAGGGAGACGAGCTTGCCCGCAGCGGTGGCGGCGTGGAAGCTGTGGGCGCCAATGGTCTCCATGGCGATGATGGGCACGTCCCCCCAGCCCACCTCCTGCAGCCCCTGGACCACTCCGCACAGCAGCCCGCCGCCGCCCACCGACAGCACGATGGCCCCGGGCTTCGCGCCCAGGGACTCCTTCAGCTCCTTCACGATGGAAGTGTGGCCTTCCCTGGAGGGCGGGGGAGGGTGGCAGGTCAGGGCTGGGCTCCCCGCAGACACCAGGCGGGGCCCGGGACACGCCAGCTCGGTTTGCACCCGGCCTCATCCCAGGCCCCTCCGCTGGTTCCACCTAGACTTCCAGCTGCCGGCGCCTGCATCTACCCGAAGGCTTTCTCTGGCCACCGGAGCTGCCCACAAACAGGGCAGCTGGCAGTGCCAGGAGGTGGCACCCCCAGAGCAGCCCTCGGCTGATGACGGTGGCGTCGTGTAAACGTCCCAACTCCGTCTCGCGGGAGGGAAGGCTCCGCAGCTCGCCCTCTGCGCTGGCTCCCAGGGGCCCAAGGGATTGGGCTCCAGCTGCCCGCAGCAGTCACCTGCCCGCGACAGCTGCCCTGGTCGGTCCCTTCTGGCCCCATCTCCCCACTGACCCTCCACCCAAATAAGCCGCTGCCCCCGAGAGCTTTGTCCCAGCGTCTGCTTCTGGGCAGCGCGGGCAGTGTGTGTCCCTGCCGTGGTGTCTGCGCGTGCGTGCATGCTTGCACATGATGGCGTGCGCCCAGTGGGTCTGTGCACGCGTGTGCAGCCGCTGTGCACGATGGCGGGCCCAGTGCCACCCGCACCACGTACCAGATGAGGGGGTCATCAAACGGGGAGACGTAGACCCAGCCTGGGTTGTTCTTCGCCAGGGCCTTGGCCAGCTCGAAGGCTTCGTCCAATGTCTGCAAGGCCACAGGGGGGCGGCAGGGTGAGGCCCTGGGGAGAGCCGGCGCCCTCTGCGGCCCGAGCCCCGGGTCAGCACTCACCTCGCCCACCACCTTGACCGTGGCACCTTCGTTCTTGAGCCGCTCGATGGTGAGTGCGGGCGTGGTGCTGGGCACCACGATGGTGGCAGGGACGCCCAGCTTCCGGGCGGCATAGGCAGCCGCCATGCCTGCGTTGCCTGCTGCCAGGGGTGGGGGTGGGGAGCGCGTCAGTGCAGGAGGCTCTGGGGGCCACTTAGGGCTCTGGACTCTGCCCCAATCCCGGGTGACCCCTGGCTTCCCCCGAATCCCCAGCTGGGGACTGCTGGCTCGTGGCTGGGAAGCCTGGCCCGGACACGCAGCAGAGGGCGGGAGGGGCGCGGGGCACTTACCCGAGGAGCAGACGAAATGCTCACAGCCTCGCTCAGCCCACTGCAGGGACAAGAGGGGACAGTCAGGCCCACCGCCTGGCCTTCGCCTGCCTGCCTTCTCCCTCCCGCCTGGAACACCTTCCGTGGTTCCGATTGACACCAGCCTCTTCCTCCCTCACTTGGAATTTGTTCTCCCCTCGTCTCCCCAAAGAGACTGGCTCGGGGAAGGGTGGGGGAAGGAGGCGACAGACGGCTCTGGGATGGGACCGTAGGGACCCTCCTGACCCCTTAACCGGAGGAGGCCCTAACGGTGGGCGCTCAGGGGCGGCCCTGGAACTCCTGTCATTTCACCCAGCACGGGCCCTGCCTGTCACCTCCCCGCCCCGCCCCACCCTGAAAGGACGCCGCAGACCCCGCCCATACCATTTTGCAGAAGTGCCCGATGCCCCGGATCTTGAAGGAGCCAGAGGGCTGGGCACTGTCCATCTTGAGGTAGACGCTGGTGCCGGCCACTTTGGACAGGGCCATGCTGTCCCGGATGGGCGTCCTCATGTGCAGGGGCTCTCCGGACGTCATGGCTGGGGGAGGAAGGAGACCCGGAGGGTCGGGAGCGCTGGCCCTGGTGCCGGCCGCTGCCACCCCTTCCTTCACCACCCAGACTGCGTCCTGGGGACCAGGGTTCAAATCTCGAGGGGGGCCACCTACTCACCATGTGACATCAGATAGGTAATCCCCCAGAGCCTCAGCTCCCTCAGCTGGAGCACTGGGGCAAGGATGACCCCCCCCCCAACTCCTGCATCCCCTACACACCGAAATAACATCCAGACCTCGCAACTCTCGGAAGTCAGGACGTGGAGGCGGATTTGCACGTTCTCATTGAGAATGAACTATTACTACAAGATGGTTACCTGGACATAGCAAAGGCAGGACACCAGGAATAGTCCCTTTGTGCAAAAACATGCAGGGACATACACACGCATGCAAATCCACGTGCTTCCACGTGCACAGGGCATCTCAGGAAACATATAAGAAACTGTCAGGCGGTGGCCTCTGGGGACAGCTGCAGCCCTTTTGTGCAGCTTGCATGTTTTACCATGCGCCTATGTTACTTATTTAAATACAAACTCTTTAAAAAAACTAACCTTGAAGCCGGGCGCGGTGGCTCACGCCTGTAATCCTAGCACTCTGGGAGGCGGAGGCGGGCGGATTGCTCGAGCTCAGGAGTTCGAAACCAGCCTGAGCAAGAGCAAGACCCCCGTCTCTACTATAAATAGAAAGAAATTAATTGGCCAACTAATATATATAGAAAATTAGCCGGGCATGGTGGCGCATGCCTGTAGTCCCAGCTGCTTGGGAGGCTGAGGCAGGAGGATCGCTTGAGCCCAGGAGTTTGAGGTTGCTGTGAGCTAGGCTGACGCCATGGCACTCACTCTAGCCTGGGCAACAGAGCGAGACTCTGTCTCAAAAAAAAAAAAAAAAAAAAAAACTAACCTTGGAAAGTCCAGCATCCAGTTAGGACAAGCTCTTTCATTGTCATTAATTTGTATAATAATTATTATAGTATTGGATGACCACGTGTGAAGTGATTGCCATGCGCCAGTCACTGCGTTGAGTTTCACAGCTATTAATTCATTTACTCCTCCCAGGAGGTAGTGCTTTTGCCCTCCTCTCCTGGTGGGGCGCCGGCTCAGGCTGCGTTTTCCAGGGTGGCCTCTGCAAGCTCTCTGGTCCCCAGGCACCTCTCATAGGGCGCGGTTGCCTTTCGCAGTGAGAGGCGGGGGTCTAGGTTTTCTGCCCTCGAGCCCTGGGCTCGGGTGACTGCGGTGGAAGTGACGCTATGTGACTTCCAAGCCGCGGCGTGCTGGCAAATGTTTAGCAATCAACTCTCCAAAGGAAAGGGAAGCCCCGATTCACGGCTTGCGCCAGCTTCCATGACGTGTGTGCACCTACCACGGCCAAGGTCAAACCGCCAGTGAGGGGCTGGGAAGAGACGGGCGCAGCCTGCTCTCTTGAGCCTGCGTGGGCTGGTTCCCGCACTCACTCTAGCCTGGGCAACAGAGTGAGACTCTGTCTCAAAATATAAAAAAATAAAAAGAGACTGGGGCACTCCAAAGCAGGGCATCCCCAAAACTGTTTGAATTAACTTTTGTCTCCCAGAGGTTACCTCCCCCAAAATGACACCCCTGACCCCCCAAAACAATGCCACCCCTGACTGACTGGGCATGAAAGCCCTGTGCCGGTCACCAAGCCCCGTCCTCAGGGAGGACTCCTGGTCGGACGCCCCTTTCAGGTGGCTTTGGGAAGCCCTTCCCACCCTGTGCCTGGTGGTGCCATCCGCTGCTTTACAGTAAGGGGTCCCGGCTCCCGCTGCAGGCACCCCCACCCTCTGCCCCGCTCCCTGTACAGCGGGCACCTGTTACCCGTGCCCGGCCCTCGGGTCCCACCTGCCCCGCAGAACGCACGACTTGGAAGAGGAGGTTGTCCAGGCACGCCTGCCTGAGCGAGGCCCGCAGGAAGTCACCACCTCTCTCAAGTTGGCATGCAGTGAGTGCTCAGTAAATATGAACTATCAGGCCGGGCGCGGTGGCTCACGCCTGTAATCCCAGCACTCTGGGAGGCTGAGGCCGGCGGATTGCTCAAGGTCAGGAGTTTGAAACCAGCCTGAGCAAGAGTGAGACCCCATCTCTACTATAAATAGAAAGAAATTAATTTGGCCAACTAAAAATATACAGAAAAAATTAGCTTAAGCCCAGGAGTTTGAGGTTGCTGTGAGCTAGGCTGACGCCACGGCACTCACTCTAGCCTGGACCACAGAGTGAGACCCTGTCTCAAAAAAAAAAAAAAAAAGAACTATTAGTAAACGTGGGCTGGGCGCTTTAAGCGCGTATCTCGTTCTACCCTCACAACCACTCTGGGAGGAAGGTTCTACTGTTATCCCCATTTTACGGACGAGGAAACTGAGGCACAGGACCAAATGCAAACTCAGCCCATCTGGCTCCAAAGCATGGGCTTTTATGACTCTTTCTGTCTTCCCCGGTTCCCCTGGGAAACCACGGGCCAGTCCTGGGGCGAGGCGGCGGGTGGGGTCCACTTACTGGGCACAGGCGATCGAGCCGGGCGGCCGGACAGAGCGAGCAGGGAGGCGGGATTGGCTGGGTAGGAGGCCCACGGAGATGGAGAGATGGAGAGATGGAGGGTCGGTAGACGTCTGTCTGCTGAATGTTCCCGGGGCCACCGGCCTGGGATTTATTCCCCCAGCGCCTCCGGGCAGCCAATAGGGCCCCGGGGCCGGCCACGCCCCCTCCGGGCCCCGCCCCCTGGCCCGGGGCTCCCAGGAGCGGAGTGGGAAGCTGGCCAGCTTCTCTCCCCCAGCTTCCCTGTCTTTCCCACACACCCCCCCACCCGTTTCCACTCCCCTTTCCCATCCTCAGTTTCCCCCTTGCAAATGGGAACAATACCTACTTCCCAAGGAGCCTTAGGAGGATTGCATGAAGATCACGTGTGATAATGCACTTAAAGTCGCCAGCATGGGCTTGGGTGTAGTAGCTGCCCAAGAAGCAACGAGGATACTCAAGCCAGAACGTCTAGCAGCCACTGAGCCCCGAGCAAGGTACAGACCACACAGGAGGTGGCTACTATTGTTATCCCCATCCTGCAGAAAGGGAAGCTGAGGCACATGGGCGTGTCACTTGCCCCAGGTCACGCAGGCAGTGAGAGAGGAGCTGGGACTGGAACCCAGCAGTCTGACTCCCACAGCGGCAACCCAAACACAGTTCCTTGTCACCTTTCTTCATTGCCTCCCCTGCCATCCTTTTGTGACCTTAGGGCATGAAGGGGCAGGTGGGGAAGACGCAGGGGCCGGATTCCAATCCTTGCTCTGTTTACCGGCCAGGTGGCAACAGGCAAGTTGCTTTGCCCCCTGGAGCCTCCGTTTGCTCATTGGTAAAATGGGGTGATGAGGGCGCCTCCCTCCCGGGCTCGGATGACTGGAAACAATGTGTGCATGGGAGGGGCTGGGGCTGGTGAGTGCTCAGCAAGCGTGGGCAGCCATCACCACCAACCATCATCATCGTCGCTGCAGAGGTGGGAAGTCTTGCGTCTGAACACTGCCCATGCCCCACACCAGGCCTCCTGTCCTCAGCTGCGCGGTCTGTCTGTCCACAGGGTGGTTCTCTCTCTCTCTCACACACACACACCTCCCGCGGTGGCTGCCAGCTCTCCTCCCGGCCCCCTCAACAAAGCTGTCTTGTGAAGCTGGCCGGGACGAGAATATCGATGAGACGGAGGACGGCCAGGGCACAAACAAGCCTGCACAGCCACCCCCTCTGCGGGACAAGCTGTCTCCTCGCTGTCCCCGCTGACCTTCCGCAGCACCCCCAAGCCCCCTCCCCAGTGGGACGTGCACAGCCATGCGCTGGGGACATGGGGTGGCAAAGCGGGGGACACGTGGGCAGCGAGAAGCTCACGTGTGTACGGGTGCATACAGCCAGCACGCACACGGCCGGAGCACCTGCGGGTGCCCGATCCCAAGCCCCGTGTCTGCTGGGTGGGGTCTCCCTTGCGCCCCGGACATCCTCGGGAATGGGCGCGTGGAGCCCGCGTCACAGGCGGGGGACAGGCTCCGAGGTTGAGCAAAGCCGCCGAGAGCACCAGGTGGCAGGTGGCAGCGAGACACGGGCAATGGGGAGGGCGGAGGGGGCCACACTCGGGGGGCGCAGATTTAGGCACTGGATGCTATCTCCACGTGGGGCTGTCCCCACAGTCGGGGCGGGGAACCGAGGGAAGACAGCCATTAGCTCTCTCGTAGCGTCGAGTTAATTTACACTCCGTGTCATGGCGGGATACAGGCGGGGGCAGGTTTGGAGCTGCAAGTGCTAGGGACAAGGACAAGACGGCTAACTCCTTAGCTCTCCATGCGTTGTTCCGTCTGCTTCAGCAACGATGTATCAGTAAAAAAACTGAGCATGTAAGAACCAAAAAGAGGGGAAAAGACAAAATAATGTATATCACTGTCTTTGATTTTCTGTCTGGGCATATCCATTTTTTAATAACTCAATGGAGCTATAATTCACATACCATACAATTCACCCATGGACAGAGTATTGATTTTAGGGGTTTTTCATCACCCCAAAAAGAAACCCTCCTCCCCTCCCCCCAGCCCCTGGCAACCACCCATCTGTGTTCCCTCCGTGGCTTTGCCCCGTGCTTTTGTCATTTCGTGTAAACGGAATCGTGCAGTGTGCGGTCCTCTGCGTCCGGCTTCTCTCACGTGGCGTGGTGTTCTCAGGGTCCACCCACGTGGGGGCCTGAGTCCGTGCTTCATTCCTCTTCCCGATGACTGATGTCCCACCCCAGGGTAGACCACGTTTTGTTTATGCGCTCATCCATGCATGCACTCTGCTGTCCACGTACCTCTTCGCTTTTGAATGTATAAAAAACTGCTGGCTACAAGTACATGAATGGGCCTAAAAAGAAAGAAAACAAAACAAAACAAAAACAAAAAAACAAACAAAAAAACCTGCTGGGAGGCCGGGCGTGGTGGCTCACGCCTGTAATCCTAGGTGGATTGCTCAAGATCAGGAATTCGAAACCCCAGCCCTGAGCAGAGCGAGTACCCTGTCTCTACCTATAATACAGAAAGAAATTAGTTGGTCCCAACTGATAATATGTTATGAAAAAAATTAGCCGGGCATGTGGCGCATGCCTGTAGTCAAGCCTGTATCCCAGCTACTCGGGAGGCTGAGGCAAGGAAAAGGGGAATCGCTTGAGGCCCAGGAGTTTTTGAGGTTGCTGTGAGCTAGGCCTGACGCAAGGCACTCACTCCTAGCCCTGGGCAGCGAACAAGTGAGACTGTCTTAAAAAAAAAAAAAAAAAAGAACGCAGAGCCCAGGGTTCCAGGAGGGACAAAACCCTTGTTTGGCTGGGAAACCCGAGCAAGTGCCCCTGGTTCTCCGCCGGCCGGGCTCTGTTACATCACAGCCTGCCTGGGACGTGTCCCGAGCGAGCGAGCGTGGCCCAAGCTGTGTGTCCTTGGCTCCGGGAGGCGGGGGTGCTGACGGTTGTTTTCACGGGCCCGCGGAGGAACAGGCAGCTCTCACCTCTGTTTGCCTCCCTGGCCGGCACAGCCAGCACCTGCGGCTCCTGGTGAGCTCAGGGCTCTGGCTCCTGCTCCGTGGGACCTGGCCTGGAGCCGCCTCCCTGCCGCGTGACCGTGGGGCAGTCGCCCAGCCTCCCCCGCCTCCGTTTCCCGCCCCTGCAGACGAGGACGGTGGTACCTGCTGGGTGTTCGCAAGGCCCCGCGCTCCGAGCCTCCCTTGTGTGCCAAGCCTGGGTTGGGGCCTCTTTGGGATCCTGCGGCCCAGCTGTGAGCGTCCTGGGGGCAGACTGGCCCCTGACCCTCTGGCCTCCCCGCTGCGTCTCATCCACGCAGGGCAGCTCCAGCCTGCGGTTTCTTAGGCCCCAAACTGCTTGATCTCTGTCTCTCTCTCTGTATCTGCTGCAGCAGCAAGGCCCGGCAGCCTGACCTTCCAAATATCTAGAATGCAACCACTTCCCAGCAACCCTCCTGCTACCACCCTGGTTCAAACCCCGAATCCTGTGCCTGGACCCTTGCAGTAGCCTGCGTGTTGGGCTCCCTGGCAGCCTGTGCCCCACACGGCACTGGGAGGGAGCCTGCTCAACCTGCGTCTGGTCATGCTGCTGCTCTGCTCAAGAACCTCCCATGGCTCCCACCTCACTTAGAATAAAAGCCCTGACAATAGTCTTCATGACCCTGTTCCACCTGACTCCATTACCTCTCTGCCCTCCTCCTCTCTCCCCTCCATCCGCTCTGCTCCAGCCACACTGCACACTGGCCTCCCTGGTGCTCCTTCTACACTCCAGCCTCCCCCCTGCCTCAGGGCCTTTGCATATGCCCTCCCCTGCCCAGCTCATTCTTCCTCCAGATATCCACGTTGCTCATGCCTTTACCTATGTAAAGTATGTACTTAATGTCACCTTCACAGAGAGGACCTCCCTGTCCTTCTATCTAAAATCGTACAATCTGCTTTTGTTTTTTCTGCAGCGTTGTCATCTCAGAATCCCTATGTCACTTGTGCCACCATGCCTGGCTAATTTTTTCTATATATATTAGTTGGCCAATTAATTTCTTTCTATTCATAGTAGAGACGGGGTCTTGCTCTTGCTCAGGCTGGTTTCGAACTCCTGACCTCGAGCAATCCGCCCGCCTCGGCCTCCCAGAGTGCTAGGATTACAGGCGTGAGCCACCGCGCCCGGCCAAGATTCTTAACTTTCTCTGTAGATAACGTCACCTTTTCCCAAGCTGAAGGGAGTGTTTAAGCTATCCCCCAGGCCTGCATTCTAGTCCCATGGCCCACCCAGGCCAGCCAGCGCCCAGACCGAGAACTTGACTCAGTTAGACCTGTGTCCCCAGGGCCTGGGGCAACACAAGAAGATGGTTTCTACATCCCTATAATTTTGTCCCGATTAACAAACCTAATTGCCTAATCCCTTGCCTGCTAAACTATCCTTAAAAAACTCTTCTCCCAAGTTCTCCGGAAGGTGGATTTGAGACATTTCTCCCGAGCCCCCGATTGGCACCGTGCAGAATAAAGACCTCCCCTGCCTTTCGGCTTTACCTGCTGGCTCTTGCCTGGGCTGCCTCTTGGGCGGTGGGCAAGTGGACCCGGTTGGGCGGCAAGGATTTGGGAGCTGGTCTGGGATTGCCCACGGGGCGCTTGCTCGCGGTGGCAGGGATCCGGAGATGCGCGTAGTGGCTGCCCCATCCCCTTGGATGTTCATCCATGGTGCTTGGATCCGTTGGCGGTGGAGAAATGGTTTCTGGAACTGCAAGACGTGTTTGGTGAGTGTTGAAAACACCCAGGACCGCTTTCCCTCTACGGATTGATTGATTGATTGATTGATTGATTTGGAACTTTTCTTGGGCTCCTTCATGAGTGAGTCTAGTTTGGACATCCTAGTGAGTTTCACATGGAGAATTGGGAGGGCCCGTCTGGAGGGTTTAACTCACCCTTAGAAGGCCTTTTGCTTTGATATCCACTTTAAAATAAGTGCTTTGTTAAAAATTAATGGCCAAAAATGGATGCAATTTACAAAAAATACATTTTAGAGATCTCTTATTCCAAACAATTGTCTTATTTGCATTTATGAAAAAAATGATAACTCAAAGAACATGTAGCAATTTTG